CGTCGTCACACAGCAGGGGGCTCAGGAGCTTCACAGGGTCACACCCCTCCCAACCCAACCCGAGCTGGTTCTCGGGCTCTGCCAGCACAGGGCTCCCACGCACCTGTGCCCACTCTTCTTCTGTGGCCAGTGCGGCCTCCACGGAGGGGACGTGCAGAGCAGCCTGAGCCTTGTCACCGCAGTCAGGGAAGACGTGGGTTCAGCCTGGCCCTGCACAGGCCTCCAGGAGGCCAGCCGCGACTGCCCCCAAGAGCTCCACACCTCCCTTCACGCTCAGTAACTAGTGAACAAGGAGTAGATAAAGGGAATTGCCATCTTACGCCACTCACCCGGGTCCCGCGTGACCTAGGGATTTGGGGCTTCCCTGGCGTGAAGAGATACGATGAAACACCCCACAACACAGAAGGAACCTGGGAACTGAGGGCAAGACGGCTCTGTGACCTTAAGGGTCAAGCTTCCACTCTGGAAAGCGGGTCTGAGCCCGTGTTTGGTTTATTTTATAACAGGGACATCAAAGGCGGAGATGAGGTTTCAGGGGCAGACTTTCTTTGTGGTGTCTTGTGGTCGGCAGAGTGACTGGCATCTTGGCAGGTCACACCCCTCTCAGGTGCTGCGTGGGATCCTCGGCAGAGCCCTGGGGGAGGCTCACCTGCCTCAGGTGATCGGTCCCTGACAGGGAGTTCCGGGGCCAGGCCTCGCCCCTCACTTGGCTGCGATGGGCAACAGTCCACACACGGCCCACGGGCGGCCCGTGACAGGGAACGGCAGCGTGTGTTCCGAGTGTGCCGAGGCTCAGAGGTCCCAGCTAGAGTGTCAGTCAGAGTCTTGATGCCAGCCCCAGGACGCACTCTGACCCGAGCAGGGTCAAGGATAGAAGGAAAGGGGACGGCAGTTCTCCCCAGCCTCAGCTCAGGCACCGCTCAGCTGAGATCTGGGGTCACCTGTTCTGCAGGATCGAGGTAGGATCTGCTCAGAAGAAGCCCAAAGTCTGTCTCAAGGGCCACTGTTTTCATAACCATCTGTGCCTCTAAGCACAGAGGGGCAACAGCACCCCTCCTAGAGAGTGGCATGACTTTTAACTGACCCCCTCCCCACATTCCCTGTGGAACCCTCATCCCATTAAAAAGGGATATTATTGATCTCCCTTTTGCAAAGAAAGAGATCCTTAGTTGCCCAAAGTCATGCAGCTAATGGGCGAGGAAGGTAGAATCAGCCCAGATTATGGGCCTCGCAGCCCAGTGCTCTTTCGGCTACACACAGCTAAGCAGGGCAGACTAGAAGGCTCTCTGGGAGCAGCACTTGGCATGGAAAACGGCTTTCCCAGCAGACCCAGTCATTCCTGCATCCAAAATGTGCAAAACACCAGAGAACCGGAGTGGACCTTAGTAAAAAGGCACAAGATCTCAGCCTGCAAATGGCCTGTAAGCTAGTGAAGGAGGAAGTGTACCCACAGGACACCAGTGTATTAATCCACACAGGCACCTCAGGGCAGCAGGCCTGAGGAAGGCCAAAGAAGAACATGCAATGTGGAGTCCATCCCGGGGGGAGGTGAGGGCCTCTTCATTCTCTTTTGGTTTGGGTTGGATCTGAGATGCAGAAAAAAGACCAAGTAATTACACTCCTCAGAGCAGAGCACACCTTTCATCACGGCTCCATGAAAAGCCCCTCTCTTCTTTTTCTCTTTTATTCTCACCTCTGCATTCGTTCCCTTCTTTCCATAGGCAGCCACCAGTGGTGGAGTTCCTCTGAGTTCAGTCCTCAGGAACCACCCCCACACTCACACAGTAAAACTGTTTTAAATTCTCTGGGTTCTCCCAAACTGGTTATTAGTTGATCAGTTTCTGGGTACTATCTTTTTTTTTTTTTTTTTGGAACTAGGGATTGAATGAACCCAGGGGCACTTGACCACTGAGCCACGTCCCCACCCCTGTTTTTTATATTTTATTTAGAAACAGGGTCTTGCTAAGTTGCTGAGGCTGGCTTTGAACTCGTGATCCTCCTGCCTCAGCCTTCCAAGTTGCTGGGGTTACAGGCATGCACCACCATGCCCGGCTCTCTGGGCACTACATTTTGAATATTAGGTTGGATCATGATTTCCTGAAAGCTCCAGATGTTTACTGGTGTGCGATGGGGTCTGGGCATTGAAGGATCAGGTGTGCTCCAGTCTTCCTCTTCCAGCTTTGGTGGTACCTGCCTTCCCGGACCTTCTCTGCGGGCTGCTTATTCTCTCTGAGCTTTCTGGCACTGGTCACTTCCACTGCTTCAGCACTGGATGGTGTCCAGGTGGGGGTCTGTAGGAGTCTGCGATTGGTGTGCCGTCACTGTTTCCGTATTAGAAGGCATGACTGTCCATCCAACTTGGAGTGTCTGTGGGGAGACAGTCACCTGGGATCTTACCTAGCTGCCATGTAGCTCCCCCTCTTCTTAATTCTCCTGTTAGCCCTTAGGGTCACCCCTTCTGAAAACCACCTGCCCCTGGCCCATCATCACATCCACGTCCTTGGGTCTTTTGCCTTTGGTGATTTGCAAGAGTTCCCCGTCTCCTAGAGAGGCTCCTTCTCACACAGCGCTCTCCGGGAGCTGCTGTGATTGCCTATCTGGGGCAAAGGGACCTGTGCGGTCACCACCTCTTCCAACGCTCATTCTCTAGTTGGGGCTTGGAAGTGGGCAGAGACACGATCAAAGGGAAAGGACCCTTTTCTTTCCTCCCCTCTGAGGGCTTTGCCTGAGGGCCGAGGGCCGAGAAGACGGGTAACAAGGGGTGACGCAGCTCCTCTTCTCTGGGGCGCTAACCTGCCGGTCCATTTGAGTTGATAAGCGGTTGGAAGGCCTAATCAGGTCAGAAGACCCTGAGATGGCTGGCACAGAGGCCCACTCGATCACCCACGTTCCCCGGGGCCACGGGGCGCAGGGCAGTGCCTGTCCATCACACGTGCTGGGCAGTGGCTGCTGCGTTTCCTGCCAGTGTCTGCCCAGGCTGGGAGGTGAGGTGACTCTGTGACTCTAATCCAGTGACGCTGAGTCACTGAGGGTCCTTCAGAGAGAGCAGAGTGGAAGACGTTCTATCACGGTGGGTTTTAACGTCCCTCCCAGCCTCTGCTGGCAGAATGCCTCTGGGGCCCTCCCATCCTGACCTCCATCCCCAGACGGATGTGCCCTTGACTCTTCTTAGACTCCCTTCCTCCTCCTGACCTCTGGCCCACTTGCCTAAAGGACACAAAATTCAAAGCCAGTCTTGCTGTGGGCAAGATAGGGCTTCACTAAGTTGCTTAGGGTCTTGCTAAAGTTGCTGCGCCTGGCCTCAAACTTGCGATTCTCCTGCCTCGGCCTCCAGAGCTGGAAATACAGCTTGCACCACTTCACCTGGCTGGGGTCTGTTTTCAACATGTGGCTCAGGTGATTGTCACTATCAAGCCCATTTGAGAAACCCTACGTTAGGGGCGCGTGGTGAAGTAAGTGTAGACCTTCTGGAAGGAGCGACAGCAGCCCTGGGTTCAGGAGTCTAGTCCCCGGACCTCTCTAGCTCCGCCTCTCTCTTGTTAAGCAAGTCCCTTGACCTCTTTGAACTTGATTTCTTCATGTAGAAATAAAGATATTGGGCCAGACCTCTTACAGTCCTTACATTTCATGAGTTGTTTTTCTATAAGTCATTAGTACAGTAAGCGAGTATGACACATGGTTTGTGCCCCAAAGGCAACTCCCCCCCAAGTTTTCCTTTAATTTAAAATGTATTCGGTGGGAGAAACCTGGCCAGCCCCTCTGCTCTCTTACTCCTGGGTGGTGGATTCTCTTCTGGCTAGTTTAAGTCACAGATGCAGTCTGAACCTGGAGACTAGAACGCCAGTCCTGAGTGGCAATCGGCACCTCCAGTCTTCTCCCTTCTTTGGGTCTGGCTCTGCTTAAGGCTGGAAGCAGCTGGGGAGGAGGTGACACAGGTCCCTGTGCTGTCTGACACCGCCCCCACCCCACCCCCACTTTCCCTCCCTAGCTGCACTGGCTTTAGACCTGCCAGGATAGAAATCGTGGGGTTCTGATACCGAGAGCTGGAAAGACCTTAAAAACTGGCCCTTGCTCTTGTGAATGGGGCGGGGTGGGGTGCCCCCTGAGATTCCCTGTTGTGCCCCTCTCTCCTACAGTTCCCTTAACCCAGGCAAACACCCCGTCTCCATTCGAAGGGTCCCTGGCCGCTTTTGCTCAGCCCCAGGCATCTGGGGACCGCCTTCAGCCTCTTCCGCTGGGATTTCTGACTGGCCCCACTGGGTGGGATGCCGGTCACCCGGGGGCCAGCCCTGGTCCTCCCCCCTCGTTGGAGGGAGGGATTCACAACTCAGCAGCAGCTCTGCCTGGAAAGTCTTCCTCCCCAGTTCTTCACCAGGTGAATGACCCACCTGCTTTTATGGGGACAGAGGTGGGATTGTGGATCCTGAAACAGATGTTCTTACATTCCGCTGTGCAGCTTGCACACCGCCAGCGCTCAGGACTTGTCCCACTCTCCTGGGTCTTCTGACGTCGCTCACGACTGGGTAGGAAGAGCCCTGCTGTAACCTCCAAGCACACGGGACCCGTGTTCCCAGCAGCGAGAGCCTCCTAGGGAAAGGAGGCCAGGGTGCGGGACTGGGAGGCCTGGATGGGAAGGACAGAGGCCGCTCTGCAGGTGGCCGGCTGCCTCCGGAGCTGCTCCCAAAGCTCTGCTCCTGGCACCTGCTGGCCACAGGCCTGCCAGTCCTTGAGGCACCATGTCTATCCTCTGGCCTCCAGCTTCTGGCCAAGGTGTGAGGGGTCCAGACAGCAGCACAGAGGGAAGGAAATGACGATGGGACCTGATACCACCTTATGAGTCTCCCCAGGTTCTCAGAGGCCAAGGCAACCATGGGGGGCAAGAAGCAAAGCCCTTGGGAGACTTCCACTGAGGGTCAGGTCATGACCTAGTGCTCCAGCCTGTCTGTCCCCCCAGCCTCTATGTCCAGCCTCCACTGACCTTCCTCTTTCTTCTCTGGCAGGGACTGATGCCCTTGGCCATGAGGAACCCCCAACCACTATTTGCACAGGTGCAGCCTGTGTGACTGAGCCACCGCTGCTCCAGCTGTTTCACGTAAGTGAAGGCACCCGCCAACCCTCCACCCCCACAGACAAGTGTCGGGGACCTGAGTGGGGAGGAAGCTGGATGGAGAGGGAGCTTCAGAAAGTCTTGGTCCTGGACATGGTCCCCACTGAGTCATTGTGCCCCAGACCTGCGAGGGCTTGGGCAGAAACACAGGGACTCCTCCTCCTCCTCACAAAGCTCCCCAAGAAGCAGCCGGCTTGACCGAAACCCCACCGCCTGACCCTGGCATCCTGGCTCAGACACTTGCCGTCCTGTGACCTAGGCTGCCCCTCCCGCATTGTGGAGTTTTTGTGAGATTTTCAGGGACGTGTATTAGTTACAACAAACCTAGCAGCTTAAAACGACACACACTGATTATCTGAGTTTCTCTGGGTCAGGAATCCCCGGCATGATGACCTGGGTCTGCTGCATCCTGGTCTGTCACGAGTCATGACCTTACAGGGCGCCTCAGCAGCCCTCGGCGTGAGCATGCCGGGAAACAGGGCAGGAAAAAGTGATGATGTAGTGAAATCACATAAATTCTCTCTGGCCAGAGGTTCATCTTTCCCCCACTAGATGCCTCAGTGAATCCCCAAAGCCTGGCCCACTATGCATCTGGGCAAAGTCAAGTTGATCTTGAACAGTTTGCAGATGGGATTAAGCTGAGAGCTGCGATTTTCTGCCCCCTGGTGGAACATTGAAGTAATAACTGCCAGGCCTGTGACGTGCTACACAGTGAAATGATCTTCCCACTCTTCTGCACAGGATGCATATGCATGATGCTGGGGGGTGGGGGGTAAAGGAAGCAATCTAAGACACAACCCCTGAGTGCAGAGGACTGGCAGTTTAGTGGAGGAGTCAAGATATCCCCACGCTAAAAGTCCACTAGCATCCCCCTGAGGCAGAATTTGAAGAAGGAACATGGGAAAAGGCATTGCAGTGGAGTCCAGAACTGGGAGAGCAGGGACGGGGAAGATGAGGAAGGCTTCTGCAGCCTTGAAGGATGGGTGGGATTTGAACAGGTGGAGATGATGCACTTCTCCATGAAAGCCCCTAGGGAACCCCCTTCATCTGCACAATGTAAGTCCCAATTTTGTGCCTTGCCTATAGTCGCTCCAGCTACACGCCTACCCTTACACGTCTGGAACCCTACTACCCCAAAGTCCAGGTGCTTCTCGCCTCTGGACTCTTCTTTCTTCCCTGTCCACCTGTCTCCCACTCATCAATCGTGGCACACCTCCCCACTTCACAGTTGCCCTTCTGGTGTCCCCAGGCCCCAGGACTGTGACGTGGCTGCCTGTCTCACTCCATGTCAGAGGATGTGCTGAGTGTCTTCATCACTAAGCTATAAGCTTCCTAGGAACCGGGGCTACCTGACGGGGCCGAGGTGCCACGTGGGGGAACTGGAGGGAACGGTGAATTGGTAATGACACATGGGAGGGAGGGGAGGGCAGAGGCCTTGAAGCTCCTCACGAAAGTCTGTGCCCAGATAAATGTACCCTGCAGACAGCGGGATGTAGGGAAGGCGCTGGAGCCACAGAGGGGAAGGGGGGCCTGGTGGGAAGAAGAAAACCCATTAGGAAAGCCATCGCGTCAGTGCGGGCCTGAGATGCAGGGCCCTGACTCGGTGCGGTGGAGAACAGAAGACCCTAAGGATTTTAAAGTCTGAGCGACTAGGAGCACATCCTATGGCTCCATCAAACTAATGTATAACTGAACCCCCTTGAGACCTTGTCAAGAGGCAGACTCCAGCTCTTAGGCCTCAGGGGGGACCACGTTTCCAGCCAGCTCCCCCAGGATGCCCAGGCCTGGTCCACAGACCACAGGCAGCAATGAGGCTGCTCAGCACCCCTAAGTGAATTGAGAACAGTGCTGCTGTGAGGAAGGAGCCCTCCAGAGCAGAGCGGAGGACAGGAGGTGTCTTTGGGTGAAGGAAAAGGTACCTCCTCCTCCTGGTGAACACACAGGATGCCCAGCTTGGTGAGCAGCGTGCTGGTGAGGTCTGGCCCCCACTTGAGGAAGGAACAGCCTGCCACGCCCTTCAGAGAAGCCCTGGTGGGACCCCTGGGACGACGCTCAGAGGTGGGGTGCCTGTGTGGAGAGCAGAGTGATGGCTTTAGCTTGTCCTAATTGAGTTTGGGGTGACAGTGGGGATTTCCAAGTGGAATGGACATCTACTGGCAGTTGGAGACCAACCTGGAGTCCTGCATTGGGCCCTGTGGGCTTGCTGATGAGAGAACGAGAGCAGGTGGAGATGAGGGACTAGCTCGCCCTCAGGGCCTTCTGCAATGGGTGACACTCTTCTCCCAACATCTCTGTCCCTTTTTTGTCTTGCAGGTCACCGTTCCCTTTACTGAACGTAAGTGCTTACAGTCATTCTTCCATCCTCTGGACACCCCACCGGCCAGTTCCCTGGGAGGCCCGGGCAGCCCCTTACTGGAGCTTGCCTCCCCCTGTACATCGGCAGGACCAGTCTCCCAGCCTGGACACAGCCTTCCAGGAGCCTGGGCGTGGCCCACCCACTCCCTCTGGTCTCACTCGCCTTGTTTACCATCAACTGAAGGCGAGGAGAGTTGCCCCCAAAAGGAATGTGGGCTTGAGCAGGGGAAGAGCCAGGACCATCAGTGTCTGTACCCAGGGGAGCAGCAGTAAGGACATGTCCTTGGGGGAAACGGACTGGGCAGAATCCCAGCCGATCCATCGGGCCTCAGCTCCTCCTGTATGGAACAGGGATGGTTAGTGACCATCCCAAACTGTCCCTGTGAGCAATGAAGGCCTCCCGTGGCCAGAGCCTCAGCCCCCTACAGAGGCCGGTATTGGAACCATGGGGCCAGGGAGGTCAAGAAGGAGGTAGGGAGACAGGAATGGGGGCAAGAGGACTGAGGAGGAAACAATAAGAACCTGTGACATTGGAAACGGGGAGCAGAATTAGCACCCGCCTCCTCCCTGGAGTCCGTGGGGTGATGCTACAGTGATGGAAGCTGTCCCCACGAGCTCTTCTAGAGGCCAGTCCTCTACTCAGACACCCACCTGCGTCACCAGCTCATTTTATTCCACGGGGAGCAACAGCTCTCACCCCAGCTCAGGCTGGCCCCAGCCCCAGCCCCAGCCCCAGCCCCTGCCAATCTCAGGCCCCGGGGCGCTGAGGCCCTCCCAGCTCCTGCTGCCCTCAGGTCCCCTGCGCCTCACCCCCTGCACATGTCTTTGCAGAGTTGGATGGGGCATCGGGCGGATGACCGCGGGAACGGTCGTGATCACTGGCGGAATCCTAGCTACGGTGATCCTCCTCTGCATCATCGCCGTCCTGTGCTACTGTAGGCTCCAGGTCAGTCCCCTGGGCCTGTGGCTGGAGGCTGCCCGGCCACCGGCAAACCACTTCATTATGGGGGCAGAAAACTGGAAGCCCACTTTGGGCCCAACAAAGCCCAAAGCCATGGAGTGTAGGAGACCTAAGTCCAGGAGGCTGGGAGCTGTGGGTGGTCGGAAGGGAGCCACGCACCACCCTCTGCACCCTTCAGGCACCCAGGGAGTGGCCAGGAGACCCTGGGTCATCACATTCACCTGAGGTTTCCGGAGAGGTGGGAAGGCCACCCTTCGGGGGATACTCTGGGAGCCGCTACTGGAAAGCCCTCAGCCCTGCCTTCCACTTGAGATGTGTGTCCTTCTCTCGGCCCTCCTCAACCGTAGCCTGGAGTTACTGCACTGAGCCACAGGGAGAGAAAAGGCCAGGTGTACACGGGGCGGGCGGGCACCACCTCTCAGCCATCTCTGTCCCCTCCCTGCAGTATTACTGCTGCAAGAAGAGCACAGCTGAAGATGCAGACCAGGAGGAGGACGAAGAGGAGGAGCATGGCCTTCCCGCCCCCCCCAGGGGCCCCACCTGCAATGCCTGCAGCTCCCGAGCCCTGGACGGCAGAGGCAGCCTGGCACCTCTCACCGGCGAGCCCTGCAGCCAGCCGTGCGGGGTGGCCGCCGGCCACTGCACCACCTGCTCCCCTTACCACGCCCCCTTCTACATACGGACAGCTGACATGGTGCCCAACGGGGGTGGAGGCGAGAGGCTCTCCTTTGCTCCCGTTTGCTACAAGGAGGGGGGACCCCCATCCCTCAAACTGGCACCGCCCCAGAGTTACCCGGTGACCTGGCCAGGCTCTGGGCGTGAGGCCTTCACCAATCCAAGGGCTATTAGTACAGACGTGTGACCCCGTCCACCCCAGCCAGCACACACACCAACGCTGCCACCCGGGGGAGCAGAGGAGGCGGCCAGTGGCCCTCCAACAGCCCCACGGAGACTCCTCGTTTCTTTGGCCTTTCTTGCTCCACAGCGGAGGGCTCGCCAGGTTGAGCTGTTGAGTGCTTTGAGAACCAGGGCAGGCCCGGCTCCCGCCCGCCCCGTGGCTCACAGGTGGGGGCCCATCTGATAGGCTGGCCTTGCCGCTCCCCCAGTTTCTCTCTGACTCCCCTCTGACCACCCCCTGCATCACCACAACCCCTTGGGGATCCCCAAGCCCCGGCTCTGCTGGCTGGGCAAAGGAGCCCCAGGGAACACGGCTCTAGGGGCCTCTGGAGCCTGTGGGAGATGAAGCGGCCATGTCCAGAAGAAAGGGGGACAGAGGGCAAGGAGAGAAGCGAGGACTGGACACCCCGAAGTTGGGGAGGGCAGGGAAGGTGAGGCCTGCATGCTGGGATCAGCCAGGAGCTCGTTCACAGTCCAGTTTTCTACCTTGGGGGCCAGAGCTAGTACTGTCCCTGGAGCGGCTCTGCTGGGCCTGTTATGACTGAACGTCCCACACCTGCCTCTGCACCACCACCCCACGGAACACCGAGCTGACCTTAAAGGTCGTGGCATGGGTTATGTAGGGTCTGCATTGAATATCCCTGTTCAACCCCCTCCCCCACCGCATCCTTTCTCTGCCCTAGGAACCAGCTGCCCCCTGCTGGAGAAGCCTTTCAAATTGTTCCTAGAAGCTTAGCTCTGAGATCCCTCTGGTCCTCCCAGGCCCTGGTCCACCTCGCTTAGCGCCATGCATGGCCACAGTGCTGTGGGGAGGTGTGCGTTCCTTTCCCCAGGTGCACACGCACCAGTCACCAGCAGCAGGCACTGAGGGCTTTGTCACAGTCAGTAATAGCTGCCCAGGACAAGCGTCCAGGGACGACAATGAGCAAGAAAAGCAGCAAGAACAGAGGTGACATTTTAAAATTGTTTTTTAGTTATAGATGAACACAATACCTTTATTTATTTTTATGGGTGGCTGAGGATCAAACCCAGTGCCTCCCATGTGCCAGGCAAGCGCTCCACCACTGAGCCCCAGCCCCAGCCCCCAGGAGGTGATTAGGGGGCCAGTCCCTATGGCAACCAGACAGAAGGTCCAGGAAGAGCCTGGAGTCCGTGGGGCAATGCTGCAGTGACTGAAGCGGCCCCCACAAGCTCCTCCAGAAGCCAGGGACTCCACTTGGGCATCCACCCGTGTCACCAGATCATTTTGTCCCACAGGGAGCAACAGCTCTCCCGAGCACTAGAGGGCTTCTGAGGATCAGGTGTGTCTTGGCCATTGACTTTTGTGCTTGCTGCCCTCCCTGGCCACCTCACTCTCCGGTCTCCTGCTGGTGGGACATTTATTGCTGTTTCACTCTAGTCCCAAGTTCAAGTCCTGCTTACCACCCTGCAGTGGCCTTATGCTTTTTAAGTCATATATCTGATGCAATTTCCAGTAGCTTCTGCAGTAAAAGGTGGCTGTCCCCGCTTCTAAGGGCATAGCTAACCCCTGCCCACTCCTGAGTCGCTGAATGTTTCAGCACCGGGATGAGGCTGGCCTCTCTGCTGAAATCCTAGTATTGGACACGGGTAGGTACAGTGGAGGGAGCGTGAAGGGGGACGCCCACCTCACGTCTCCACCTGGAATCCAAGCGCACTGGGTTGAGAAGCAGAAGACCTGGGCTCTGGCCACATTTTGGTCACTCATTGGCTCTAGGACCAGTCACTTCTCTGAGACTCTATTTTCTCCAGGAAGACGAGGGTGAAGTCTCAGGGCCCCCTAGTGCTGTGTGAAGTGAGGGCTTCCTAAAAACAGGTGCAGCCTGGCTGTTCCCTCTCGCCCTCCTCCTGACGGGGGATGGATGTGCTCCCAGCTGTCTGATCCTGTGTACGGGGAGGCTGGCTGAATTCCAAATGTCAGACAGACATGTTTGACCCCCACGGAGTGACCTCCTCAGGTGGGAGCAAGGCTTCTGCACCAGGAAGCAGCTCCAGGTGCGTCAAGGAGATTTGTCTCCCAGTGCAGGGGAACGGCGTTGATCCCTTTCCTGGGCAAATGTAACCCTGTGGTGAGCTGCTGAGCTTGGCCGCCCTCCCTGCTTCCTGAGGACCAGCCCCGGTGCCTTGCGCCCCTTCAATTCCACGGCCGATGACCCCAGGGCCACAGTCTTCCCCACCAAAAATAACAACTCCACCGTTGCACCTCCTGCCTGGGAAGAATCAGCACAACCCAGCTCACCACCACCCGCTGCTTGCCCCTGATCTGTTGGGGCCCCTGAAGACAAAGCATCCCACAGCACTGTCTCCTCCGGCAGCTGTCCCAACCTAACTGCTCTTAACCCAAGTCCAAATCTAGGTCCGGGGTGTTGGAAGGCAGGCCACTGCCCTCCCTCTGCAGCCCTCACTGCTCAGAGCACAGGCTCCAAACCAGGCTCAGGCTCGCTTGCCCCGCTGTGGCTGCCGGGCCTTGTGCAGGTCAGCTTTTCGTCATTGGGACCAATGATACTTGATCAGAACTCAGAGGAGGAAAAGCTTATTTGGGCTCCATCAGAGGTCTCAGTCCATGGTCAGTGGGCTCCATGGCTTATGGTGGAAGGGTGTGGCAGAGGGAAGCAGAGCCAGGGAGAGAGAAGGGGCCAGGGACAGAAGCAGCCCCCGAGGCCACATTCCCAGGGCCCTACATCTTCCAGCCACGCTCCACCTGCCTAGAGTTCTCACCAGTTCCCAGAAAACCCATTCAAACTATCAGTCTATCAAATCATTAATCCACGGATGAGTCCTGAGCCCCCAGGACCCAATCATGCCTCAAAGCCCCACCCGGGACCTTGCTGCGCTGCGGAGATGTTCCAGGCCCAGACGGTGACAGGCCTGCCCCATGGAGGGGGAAGCTCACCCCACTCGGCCACACTGTCCTGTTAGCTGTGGCGTCTACTACGGGACACCATTTATACACTCTTCAAACTGAACCCTGAACAGAAGAGAAGGAGACGGGGCCCCGTCTTCTCCGCCATCTTTCTCGGCCTCCACTTCACTACTCCTGCAGATTTCTTGTCTTGCATCTTTGATAACTTGGAGTCACAACCAAGTGAATGTCAAAATGAATGAGAAATTTGAAATAGAAACTCCACAGGGTTCTCCGTTCTTCTCCCGGGGAAGGGGCAACTGGGCGTGGATTTTAGAGGGAATGCTCCATTTCAACACCCAGAAGGTCTGTTTGCTCTCCTTCTCCTGCTCACATGAGGCCTCACTTGCTTCAGGCAGCCCCTCCTGGGCTCTGCTGGAGTTCACATCCAGGGAGGATTGATTGCTTTGGGGGAGAGGGATTGTGCTAGCTGCAACCCAAGGCTGAGAGGTTCTGCCTGTGATGCTGAGCCTCACTGGCCACAGCCAAGTGTGTTGGGCAGAGATGACAAAACAGGAGCCTTATAGAGTAGTGATGGGAAATAACTTTGTATGCAAAAAAGAGGACTCGGGTATGAAGCCAGAGTGTGTCTGCATCTGTGTGAGAGAGGCTCTCGCCCCACCTCGGGGTCATGGCAGCCATAACTAGAGCCAGGTGGCAGCAGGCACCCTGGCCTGAGCAATCCGCACCTGCAGCAGGCCTTCCTGAGCCCTGGGACCACAACTTTACCCCAGTGCAGGGAACGCTGGCTGCAGCTCTGTCACCACAGTCCTCTGGGAACAGAAACCAGGCCCTGAGGCAAATCTTACCATGGCACCCGTCCCATCCTCAAGCCACCTTCTCTGCCCCTACAGAGCAGCCAACACCTCCCACCCACCCACACCTGGCACCCTGGTGAGGCAGGGCCACCCCAGCACATTGGCTTGGCTGGGGCTTGGTGGCAGGGCCACATCCCTGGCCCTGCTTCTCCCTGCATCCCTTGACCTCCCTCAGCCTCAGGGAGGGAAGATGAGGGAGGCGGAAGCAGTGCTGAAGGCCACAGGCCCCGCGCCCCAATAGCCCTGGGTCTCTCGAGACCACCAGCCCCGTAAGTCACATCAAGCCAACCTGGGTCCTCAACCCTATGCTGTCCCCGACCCTGGGTTTCAGCAGGGACTCTAGGAGAAAGTGCTTCCACCATAAACGCTCTCACCCAGGGTTCTACACCTGAGTGCCATGCAGGAGAGGAGTCCCCAAACCCTGTCGTCCAATGCTGGGCACTTCCAGGACGGCACAGCAGCTAGGAGGGGAAGAACCAGGACTCCCCCCAGAGTGCCGTGTGATCAGAAAGGAAGCAGCCGCCCCCCTGACCCTCGGGGGCAGCCCTGTCACCACAGTCCTCTGGGAACAGAAACCAGGCCCTGAGGCAAATCTTACCACGGCACCGTCCCATCCTCACCCTCCCCCGATGTCTGTACCCTCTCTACCCCAGTCCCCATTCCAGTGACCACCATTCCTCTGTCACCTGCTCCCTCTGTGGAGAACCAGGGATTCGTGATCTCCCAGAACACACTGCATGCACGTGCGTCTCTGGGTGCCCTCCCGGAGAGCAGGGTGCTCATGGAACACCCCATCCTCCAGCCCAGCACACAGCACCCTCCAGATGGCATCACCAGCCGGTGGCATTTTTCGGGGACAGCCGAGAGGGGGGATGGAGGGGATCCTGGGTCACAAGGCCATCGTCTCTTTTCTCTCTGGCAGACGCAGCGATCTAAGGGTGGTGGTAGGGGCTGGAATTCGAGTGAAAGTTCAGTGTGAATCTTCCTGGCTCCACCACTCACCCCGGGACTTCAGGCCATGTTTTGAACTTTTCTGTGTCGGTTGAGATCCTAGTGTCTACCGAGTCCACTGTTGTGAAATTTAGTGAACTGATGCCTGGCACCCGAGGTCACTATTCCCATTTGTAGGATTTGTAGACAGACTTGTATCTGCACGAGAGGGGCAGCAGGGCCCACGTGGGGCTTGCTCAGGCTTCGGGGTGGGAGGCTCCTCTGGGCTCCACTCTCTTGTTCCACCTTTACTCATGCTCACGCCTTTACTGAGCCCCTCTCCCTGCCCGAGCCAGGCACTGCTAGGACTAACGCCCTGTGCACTTCTGCCTCCCTCTTCGTTTGGACCTCTCCCTCCCCAATGACTCTGTCTGTGACTCTGAGTGACCCACATGCCTGTCAGCCTGAAACTGCATTCACCCCAATGAGCTGAAGCAAAGAGGGGGTTCTCGTCTTCCAGCTCAATGCACAGCTCTCAGTTTGGCTGGTTCCCAGGTTCAGTGCTTGGGTTGTAAAGCAGATCTGGGGACAGAGAGGACCTCTAGCCCTTTCCTGTGAGCCTGGATTCCCGTGAGCCTATTCCTGGCTCTGCTGGGCTTCACTTAGAACCTGCTATACTCTCTGGCTTCCCTGCTACAAGAACGGGCCGGGACTCCAACCGTCTTAGGGGAGAGGGTGGGAGGCAGATACCTGGTAGGGAAGGAGGGGAAGGCACTCGTACACCCATGCACCCATGCACCCATGCAGAACACCCTGTGCCTTCAGAGTTAGGAAACCAAAGGAGAGCCACCTGGAGGACTGGCCCTGCCATGTGCCAATGGCTGCCAGAGCTGGCTGTAAGGGACCGGCTTCCTCTGCCCTGAATCCTCCCTCCTACCTCACGTCCTGCCAGGCTCCACAGGGAAGGAAACGTCACTGCAGCTCTAAGGCTAACCCAGGGGCCACAGGCAACTCCTCTCCCCTGACTAACCACCCTGTGCTCCTGTAAGCCCCTCCTTCCAACGGACATAAACTTCCTAAGATGTGAAATCAAGGTTCTCTTTCTCTATCCAGCCTCCCAAATGGTGAAGCCAACCTGCAGCCCTGCGGTGGCCCTGGTCATCTGACATATTCAGGCCAGTTTTCTAGGTAATTATTGGTTGCAGGGGGGACGTTGCATCCACAGATTGACTTCAACTCCTCAACGAGTTAAGGCACCTTGACCAGTGCTGGCAGATGGAATATGGGAATAAGGCTTTGGGGCCAACTTCTACACCAGACCCTCAAGCCACCCTCCAATTGCACGGCGGAGGAAGATGGGCGGCCATCCTACCGTGGTGCCACCAGGCGCCACTAACCACCTGCACACTTCTGCCTCCGTCTCCCTCCTGGGCTGTGGTGGGCACCAGTGGAAGAAGGGCTCACCAGGGCAGCTCCCGTGTGCTTGCCTTTGCCCTGGGCCTGCTCTGAAGGGCAGAAGTGGGCTCTTTAGACAGGAAAAAATAAACCCTGTGAGCACATTCCTCGTCATATTGTCGCCAGACTTTTTGTTCTGGACTAAACAATGCAAGCTCAAACAAAGTCCCCTGAATCCTTCCCCAAACACAGGGACCCAACCAAAGGGAGAGGTCTTTTCCAAACCACCTATGTCTACTGGACCCGTCACAGAGTCAGTAACGTGACCTGTGGAGCTGAGTCTCTAACTCGTCCCTGGCGGGCAGAGTCCCAGGTAGGGAGTGAGAGGAAGGCAGGGGAAGGCAGGAAGTTATCTTATTCTTGATGCTAAAGGTCAAGATCACTGAGAGCAACTACATACAGGCTATGAAAAACTCAACGTCCTCCAAATTTGTGGAAAGGTTGTTTGATGAACATATTCAAATTCATTCAGGATAAACATACTTGTCATGAATATCCTCAAAGATGACACTTTCTGCTTCTTAACTCCTTGGGTGGGCAGCCCTGGACTCTTCCTGGAGCTTAGGAGATGAACTTCCAACCAGGGTCCCTGCCCCAACCTAGGCAGAAGTCACCCCTCCTTTTGAAAACTCCCCTCCATGGTCCCTGGTGCACCTGGCTCCCTAGTGTGGCCAGTCCTGCCCAAGCCTCGGGGAACCACTTGATCTCCATCTTCCTTTCTATCCTATCACCAACTGCCCCAGCAGTCCCTTGCCTGTTGAAAGCCACCGAGAGTCCCCACAGAAGCAAGTCCCAGCTCCATGGGGCCTCAATATGGGGACCTCAGCCACAGCCTAGTGGGAGAGGGGTAGGGCGATGGGCCTCCCTGAAGACTCCCAGTGGATGGACAATTCCAAGTTCATCATTTCAGATGCCCAGGCTGATTTAACCTGGGCTTCAATCCAATGATGGCCAGAGGCTTGGATTGGTTAAATCTTCCTGAGCATCTGAGACTGTCTTTCCCTCCAAGTCTGACCATAAGACACCAGCTCACTCAGTCCTGAGCACATGGAAGAGCTCCGGGCTCACTGCAGACCCTCGTGCACCCACCAGGTCTGCATTGCTCCCACCCAACCCCTGGCCCCTTGACCTGGCAGTTTCCCACTGCATGGGAATTGCATCCTCACTCCTAAAACGGGAGCACTGCCTGGAAGGCTCTGTTCTGGGTCTAAGGAAAAACTGGGAAATGACACCAGAGACTGCTTCCCCCTCGGAAAGTCCCCTGAGCTCCAGCCCCAAACCGCAAGGCTCCGGAATGACCAGAAGGCCACACGCTCGAAGCCCCAGGCCTCCAGCGACGGAGGTCTCACCGCGCCTCCACCTTTACCTCCCGCCTCCTGAAGAGGAGCCTGGAGCTGGTGACAAAGGAGAAGGAGCCCCAAAGAAAAAGGAACTGAGAATTTAAAATAACGCAAAGGTCGTAATAGGAAATGTGCCTAAGATAGGGAAAAATGGGAAGACTCCACACGATGATGACGTGGTGATATTTCCTATTGGGGAACAGGAAATGACAAGGGGGCAGAAGCGAAGCTTTTCAAATTATGCCTTTGTTATGTCAGTTTGATTTTTTTTGTCACTCTACATTTCTAAAAGAGTTTTTTTGTTTGTTTGTTTGTTTTTTGGTCACTCTACATTTTAAAAGTCTTCCCCCGCCCCCTAAGTAAACTTAAGCGAAAACCGCGACTGGGGGTGCAGGCGCGCCCTGGCGGTCTCCCGCAGGCGCATGCGCGGGAAAGCTGCCGGGAGAGGCGCCAGGGAGCTGGAGCGCCGCCGGGGCCCGCAGCGAGTGTCTAGGGTGCTGCCAGACTCCACCCTCCAGTCCCGGAGCTGGGACTTGCTGCCCTGGGGCCTCTCCGGTGGCTTTCAACAGGCAGGGGGCTGCCAGGCTCCAATGGCCCAGCCGTTTTCTCCCAACAAGACAAAGCGCTGAAGATGAGCGTGAAAAACAGAGTCGGCAGGACGGGTTCGTCCGGGATGATGTCTACAAATACTTTTGTCGTGGTTAAAGGAGACACTGCAATAGAAAATGTGCGGCTTTTGACCATTTCGAAGGGTACGGTTCCAAGGCATGAACTCATTCACAAGGTCGCGAAGCCACCTCCGCGATCTTCCCAAAGCCCCTTCGTGGCCCCTAGCGGACCCTCTGGAGCCGCTCGCGTTGGGGCTTACCTTTAGCAGGTGTGTGCTGTTTTGCATTAAGACAGTTTCAAGGCAGGCTCATCCCGCGCGCCCTGCTGGGGGGGCCGCGCTTCTGCAACCAGGGTGAGGCCCAGCGAGAAGTGGCTTCAGCTGCTCCATAGGTAAAGGAGTTGGAGTGCAGCTGAATGGCTTGTCCTGGGGACAGGTGGGATGGGCAGCATGATTTAAAGTGAAAAGGAAGGATATCAACAGGGTGGAGGCTGGGAGAGCTACGTGCCTCAGCACTGAGAGGCGCAGGGAAGAGGAGGAGCCGCTGGGAGGCTGCGAAGCTCGCCTAGGCACAGCGGTGGGTGGCATCTCCTCTCCCCTGCCCAGCTTGGCCCACCTGGCCTCCCTTCTCCAACCTGTTAACACATTGACGTTCTAGACTATGGGATGGACGGCGGAGGCTTCAGGCAGGCCACTTATGGGTACCCAGGCGAAACAGTCCACTAAAGCCCCCCCACACACACACACACCTAGGAATGCTTGCCCTGGACCATAAATGGTCCCTAGACTGACAGAGTGAAGCACAGGCCCCAGGAGTGGGGGTAGAGAAAAACCAGGAGCCCACTCCCTGCACCTCCAGACTTTCCACCCTGAGGCCGCCGCAGACTGACGCATTTAAATGATCATAAGGTCTACAAACCTGCAGGGATTCAATGAAATTTGTGCATATCTAGTATTCAAATCGGGTCCGTGCACCTACCCCGGCCCCCCGCCAGTTACAAATCACTATGTATTTTCTCTACCATACTCACCCACCGGCATGACTTTCCACTATCAATTCTGACCCCACAAACCTATGGGCACCTACCCAAGTCCTACCTCTCCTTCAGACCTTCGTGATTGTATGATTTACGCCCATGCAGCACTTGGAAGTAATCATTCCCTTTTCTGAATGAGCAAAACCACTGATCTCCACCAAACACCTCTCTGACATTCTGGGCTGGATTACTGGTCCTTGTCACCCCCTCATCTTCCACTGCAGGCAGGCCCATCCCGCAAGGGCTGGAGTCACCACCACGTCAGCCCTGGCATCCAGCACAGCACCTTGGGCACAGTTTGCAGCCGGCCCAATGCTGCCCCAGGAGGGAGAAGCCCTTCTCCCTTTCATTAGACTGGGATGTTTTTTGGGGGGTCCCCCTAATTTTTGTTGCTATTGTAGTAAAATACACATAAAATTAATTTTATGTGTATTTTACTACAATAGCAACAAAATTCAGTTCAGTGAATTCAATCCATTCATAAGGCTGTGCAACTATGACCAATACCCATGTCCAGAACTCATTTCATCTTGTAAAACTGGAACTCTGCGCCCTCTGTAAACAACAGTGCACATCTTCTCCTCTTCCTTGGGCCCTGGCAACTACCATTCTACTTTCTATCTTGATGATCTTGACTATTCTAAGTACGTCATAAAAGTGCAATCATACAGTATCTGTCTTTTTGTGACTGGCCTAATTCACTTAGCATCAGGCCCTCGGGATTCATCCATGATGTAGCATTCGTGAGTTTCCCTCCTTTCAAGCTGACAGTCCCTCTTGTATCGCAGGTACTGTACCATGTTTTGCTTATCTATGAACCTCATCCGTGAGGGACACTTGGGTTGTTTTCGCATTTTAGCAACTATGAATAATACTGCTGAGATTAGAGATAACTCTGAGATTCTGTTTTGACCTCTTCTGAGTGTATACCCAGAGGTGGAATTCCCAGGGCATGTGGTAATTGTTTAAACTTTGAAGAATCACTATTCTGTTTTCCACAGCAGTTTTGCCATTTTACAGTCACATCCACTGCCCCAGGGGTCCCATGACTCCACATCCTGACACTTGTTATTTTCTGAGTTTTGATAGTAGCCATCCTGATGGGCGTGAGGCAGATCAAGCCATTCTTAACATTTTTAAAGAGGTAGATGTATTCAGAAGGGGAGAGGAAGAAATAGAACAGTACAATAATTTCAAGTGAGAACAAGATTCAAGTTCAGGGAGTTAGAAGGCCTTCATTCCCTTTAGCTGTGTCATCTAAAGGGCATTAGGTTATGCTTGAGAAACAGAAGACAGAGGTCTCCTTACACCCAAGCAGAGCTCTGCCTTGGAACTTTGAAGCTGATTTACTTAGTAATGGCTGTGCAGACCCAGTGGGCCAGCTCTGCCGGGATGGCTTTCCTCTGTGATGAAATCTTGGACTATGGCATTATCTGCAAAACTGGGCACATTGCTTTTCCTGTCAGACAGCTTCTGTGGTTCCATGTCGCTAAGTAGACAAGATGACCTCAAACGGTCCTTCTAGCCCTAGGACGCTGTGATGCTAACAGCCAGGGTCCAGTCTGGAGCGTCTTCTTTCTTCCTTTGCTTCCCTAATTGACCTCATTATCTTTTCCACTTCTCAAGATTATGAGCCTGTCACCTGCCCATCCTCTTCATGTTGTGCTCTTCTCTAGTTGAATTTCACTGTCTTCACCGACTTTGATAAACAGCGATCTAAGGCCCATTCTTAATAATTTCACTCTTTTTCTCTCTAAACTGAGGACAAAGTCTGGTGGGGAAGAAATGCTGAGGTTAACAGCAGTTTCCTAAAGTAATTATTCCACACCTGGCAGACAGAAGGACTCACCGTCTCCAACCATGGCCAGTCTTAGAAAATCTGAGTTCATCTCCTACACCTGGCTTCCACTGTGTTTTTATTTTAGTCCAGGGAAAGTAAATGCCTGAAGTGTTTAGGATTTCATCTGTGAAAATGTGTGTGATTTTTCCACCCTACACTTTAATCATCTCCTCAAGGGCAGGGCTGGTATTTTTGTCTGTTTTTCTCCAGTGCCTGGCATGATATTTTGCACCTAGCTCAGGTCTTGAATAGTGTTAGTAGAATGAGCAGTTTTGCCTAAATTTGCTCATCTCTAATGGCTACATTCTTAGTGGGTTTTTTCTCCCCATTTAAACCATCTTTTAAGTTCTATTAGAATTTTTTCACATTTTGTAAACATGTATTAAAAGTAAAATGTCAGGCTGGACATCTGGCACACCTATCATCCCAGCTACTCAGGAGGCTGAGGCAAAAGGATCCCAAGTTCAAGGAGCCTGGGCAACTTAATGAGACCCTGTGTCAAAATAAAAAGGGCTGGGTGGCAGAGGAACTCTGGGTTCAATCCTCAGTACTGGGGGGAAAAAAAAGGTTTTTAATAATTTTTTTTAAAAGAGAGAGGGAATTTTTAATATTTATTTTTTAGTTTTCAGTGGACACAACATCTTTATTTTATTTTTATGTGGTGCTGAGGATTGAACCCAGGGCCCCGTGCATGCCCGGCAAGCGCGCTACCACTTGAGCCACATCCCCAGCCCCAAAAGGTTTTTAATTTAAAAACTCAAAAAGTAAACGGGTCAGCTTTGCCACCTCAAAAATTTAATGAAAAGGAAAAATAAGCCCAAATCATGTACAAGAACATCTATGAAGCAGATCATGAATCAGATGTAATCAGTGATATACAAGGTGAAGGAAAGAAGTACGATATAGGGCTGGGGTTGTGCTCAGTGGTCGAGCGCTTGCCCAGCACGACTGAGGCACTGAGTGTGTGGGTTTAATTCTCAGCACCACATATAAATAAATGAATAAAATAAAGGTCCATCAACATCTAAAATTTTTTTTAAAGTACAGCATAACTTACTAGCTAATATGAAGGGACATTTGGTCATGTGGAAACAATAATCAATGGTTTTGACAGCACGGTAGACAATGAATTCATCCATTTCTCTGCTTTTCTACCTGAGAGGCCAGATCTCGGGTTGAAACCAACAAGTGGAAAATCTGAAGAAACAGAGAATGAAAACTGATAGAAGAATGTTGTGCAATGTCACTGAGAGTAGAATCAATGTGACGAATTAGTAACTACCATGAGCACCCAGTATATGTCCACACTGTTCAGAAATGTGTTTGGTAAGCAATCAGAGTCCCCCATTGTGTGAAGGGATTGCTGCCCATCTGCAGGAAGGTGGCAGGGGCACATTCAAATGGCCCTCTTCAGTCAAAAACAAACACGGCAAATAGGAAACTGTGAAACTGACCTGCAGCCTAACTTCACAAGAGGCGTTCAAACATTTTAAAAGGCTGCTTGAGACAAAACAATTACCAAATATTTGCAGATACCTCCGCCACCACCGTAGGGCTTGCCAACCAGCAGTCTTGACAATGGACCCAACCTTGTGTGCAGCAGTTCAGATGTGGGAGGTACGGAAGGTCTGCAGCTTCATACCCACTCGCCACTTTTGAGTGTTAAATTGTTTCTGATCCTCAAAAATGTACCTCTTGTTTTAGAGCCTGGGTTTCTTTTACTATTATTATTGTGTTTGGAGTTAGGTGTGCCTCACTCCCAAGTGAGGACTTCCAATGGCATCTCTAGAAATTCAACATTGAAAAGCACTCTCGTATTGATGGCTCATCTAAATTGTTGACTTGTATGATGTTAAAAAATTACAGATCCTAAAAAAAAAAAAAAAAAGAAAAGAAATTACAGATCCTAGAAAGCATCAGGCTATGGGTCAAAAGTACACAGTTTGATTTTTAGTTGTGTTCCTGGGGCTTCTGTTGGCCCTAAAATCATATAGCATGTGGAATGTTCCTCAGTCCAGGCGCGAACACACACACACACAGGGATCTGCCTCCTTGGCTTAAAGCAGCTAAGATCTTGGTCCAGGAGCTAAGTTCTTTTATTAGTTTGATGGGGCTGCTTCTGCACCAGTGACACACAGTACAACTCCAGATTTGACGTCATTCCTATTGCATCTTGTATAAAATTAAAATTATTACAGTAATTGAATAATTCATAATCCCTCCCTTATCACTTTTTACAGCATTGAGGCTTGTGTGTTCTAGCGCATGTATAGACCAACATCCTGTAGTGGTGAGTTTATGCATTAAGAAAAACATGCTGCTGCTAACCAACTGTGCATATTTGGAGTGGGTATTAGGGAATCCGTGTTCTTCCCCTCTGGCTTACTTGACTAGCCCAGTTCACTGAAAGCTTATAGTTTAAGATATGCCAAGTCCTGAGAGTTTCTATTTTTCTAAACTACAAAAATAAATCTTCCAGATTTTTATAATTCCATTCATATTTGGTAGGAAACTAGTCTGAAAAAATGTGTCAACCAATCCTTTGGTTTTATTTGCATATAGACAGTGGAGTGTAACTTTGAAAGAATGGCGAGGATCTAATGGGTATGGACCCAAGTGCTTCTGCTAATTCTGTTTTGGCACCATTTGAAGACTGGAATTCTCTTTTTTTTTTTTTTTTAATAAGATATTGATGGACCTTTTTGTTTTATATGTGGTGCCGAGAATCGAACCCAGTGCCTCACATATGCTAGACAAGTGGTCTGAGCCCCAGCCCCAGCCCCTGGAGACTGGAATTCTTTACACCCACCTCCACACTCCCCACATACAGGACCATGGAAGCCCTTGCTTAACAACTGCATTCCTAATCAGGACACCCCAGGTTAGTAGCAACTCCCGGGCTTGCACCTATTACTTCACTCTTTTCCCTCTGTCAGGAAAGCCTCGTTGAGCAGGAACTGTTCGCAAAGAATGTGATCAGAAGACATCAGGAGATGATAGGCAACATCTGCACTATACCTCTTCACTGATGGCCGTGAGTACCTCCCAAGAATCTTTGGCTCTTCACCTAATTGCCAATTGAAGGCAGTTTCCTTTCTCTTCATTACACCATTTCCATTTCTATAAACTTGCTATTTTGGAAACTTTAATCAAGAATCAGGGGCTGCGATTGTAGCTCAGCAGTACAGCACTTGCCTACCATGTGTGAGGTACTGGGTTTGGTTCTCAGCATCACATAAAAATAAAGAAAATAAAAGTATTGTGTCCATCTACAACTTGGAAAAAAAAATAGTCAACTAAGCCAGGCATGGTGGTACAATCCTATAATCCCAAGCTGAAGAAGGAGGATCACAAGTTTGAGACCAGCCTTGGCAACCTATTAAGGCCTGAAGCAACTTAGTGAGCCCTGTATCAAAATTAAAAAAAATAAAAGGGGCTGAGGATTTAGCTCAGTAGTTAAGCACCCCTGGGTTCAAATTCTAGTACCATTCCCCCAAAAGAAGAAAAATAAGAAATCAGTCAGCTGAGAAAAAAATTAAGATTTATTTTTTATAAGAACCAGAAAACTGATTTGAATAAGGCACACTCAATGTCTACAGGAAATAAATGCAAAAGTAATCATGGTTATATAAGGAAAAGGGAAATGTCAAGTCTGGCATTAATGATTCTCAATGCCCATTAATTTTTTAAATACACAAAAGCAAAATTCAATGGTATTTAAAAATCTGGGCCAGAGATTAGCAAACAACTGGTAAAGAGCATTTTGCTGAATTTTCTCACTTTTATAAGCTGTCTTTGTTATATTCTAACATCAGTGCTCAATATGCTTCCTGTTTTAACAAACAGAAGTACAGATCAAACAAGAGCTAGATCAAAGCCTCCTTGGCAGCTAGCACTGTTCAGTTGGGCCATTGGCCCAGGGGTTGGTGGGCCAAGGACACACCAAGCTTCACCAACCAAGCATGGAGGCTTCCAAATGAAACATGCTACAATTACTTTATTCATCGATTTGAAAAGTAGAAAAAAGAAACAAATAGCACTACTACCTTTAGCAGTATGAACCCCTTGGAACTTGCCTTTCAATCTCTGAAATTAACTAGAAAAACTAAATTTCATCCTAAAGAGGGGAAAAAACCAAGTCCAATGACACTTGCTCCTACAAGAAGTGTTTTACATTAATACATAATGTCATGGAAGTTATTCTGTGACAATAATCAATGATGTTCAGGTGTCATGTGTGGTATCATGTGCCCACAAATCATTTTTCAGAGTCAAACAAGCAAATTGCCACAACAATAAAAGGTGAACAACTAAATACACAAAAGTCTGAAAAATGAAAAATGTAAAAAATAATGGAATAGAAACTAATAGAGTACAATATATAATAGATTTTAATTATTTGCATATTTTAAAAATATAGTTTTATACTGTAAAATCAATCATTTTATTCATGAGATTATCTGTTTTTTCTAAAAATGATTTTTGAAATAATGGACAGAAAACTGACAAATCTCAGTCAATTGCACTTAAGCATACTTTTCCTTCTATGTATAACAAAAGCTAAACAGTAAACAAGGAATTGAGCAACTTTTAGCAATTCTCCTAAATTATATTGAGCAAATGATGAAAATCCATATTCAACCAAGTGAAGAAACAGTTCCCTCTGTTTCAAGTGTGATGTGAATCACTGACAGAAACTAGGTCTGTACTTCAAACTGGTTCCTCTATAGATCTGAGGTAGCACACACAGGTCAGCAGGCCAACATAAAAATTCTACAAGGCACCAATGGTTGTGTATGATGTAATACTAGCATCGAAGATCTAAAAATACTGGAAAAATTCAACTTATGGCATATAGAGTTTTCTTCTATTTCCTGATTTTATATTGGACTGACCCTGATATTACATTCACTATGGTTTAACTTTGTGTTCAGGTCTTTTCTCAAATCTATTGAGGATTCCTTCAAGTCAGTACTCCTTTGGGGATGTCCCTGCACTCAACTGAGCACACTTAAAGCCTTGCTCAAAACACATTTTTTTCCTCTGGCAGATATTCAAATAAACTTTTCCCCATGTCTTTGTAATCTTTTTGGTATCAATACAGATCCTTACATCTTTTTAGTGTTTCCTAAAATCCTTCCATTCTTCAATCACAAGAATTCTTAACTACATACACATGTGTATGCTTTCACAGTCAAAGAGAAGCCAAAGTCTAGTTAAAACATTCCAGGGCTGTGGTGATAGTCCATGTAATAGAATAGACCTTTTGTTAGGTCTACATTCTACTAGTGTTCCGCTTTCAAGAGCTCAAATGCTGATCAACAACTTCTGTCTCCATACACATTGTTCTCAGTTTGTCTCACAATCACAGATCATCATTCAGCAATTGATATTGGTCATTAAAACCTCTGAGACTCTACCATTTCTGCCTCTCCTCACCAAGTATAACATCTCTTGCATTTCTATTTTGCAGTTTTGGGGATCAAACCCAAAGCCTCACACATGCTAGGCAAGCACTCTACCACCAAGCTACACTCCTAGCCCACATTTTCTCCGATTTTTACCCTAATGGTGCTTCTAACTGTCTAAAAATGAGCTGCAGTATACAATGCTCCATCACAGCACAGCCAAGAAACTTTGGTGAAGTTATGCCAATGTGCCCATATAAAGACTACCATTAACTTGGTTACTAAAATCTGTTCTTCTGAAAATGGTACTCAGACTTTCATCCTAAACAATGACAAAATTCCATTTAGGGAGACAGAAATGATTAACAGAATGAACAAAAGCATCAGAAACATGTTAGTAAATTCTAGCTTATACATTCTAATCCTCATTTGTAGGTCTTTCTCTTTCATAAATAGTACAAGTATACAATAAACCTATTTTTCATCTTCTGCCTGCTCACAAGTTTTAATCTTTATTTTTTTCTACTTATTTCCTATATTCTAAGGTGTTTTTTCACTTATTGATTTTCAAACTTCATTATCAGTGAAACTGTTCCAATGAAATCATACAGAGATCCCCAACATATAAAACTGTCAAAAGCAGAACTGCTCTGATAAAAGCGTAGGGATCCTGGTAGACCCAGTGTTAAGAATCACTGCTCTAAATCATTAGGGAAAGCTGACGCAAAGACATAGCCAATTGGAATGTCTTCACTTCCAATGATTACAAGCAATTTCCCATTGATTCCAATATTTAAGAACATTTTTGAACATAGCTTGCTTGACCTCAGCTCATTAACGGAACAAAGGTGTAGTGCTTTACATAAAGTGAGTATTTAAGGATCTGGTGGTTTGAATTCTTATTTCCTTTTTTCCATACTAGTCAAAAGTACAAACTAGTATAAAATATCATCCCTCAACTTGGTTATTAAAGCAAGTTTTTAAAATATTTAACATGACTGAAAAGTTTCTAAAAATGATCACTGCTTCAAACTCTGATTCAGTCCAAGTCTAAAAAGCCTCTTTCGTCTCCCTCAAGAAAACAAATGTCACTCTATAGTTACTCTGAGAATAATATCTTTCTGTGCAATGATTCTGTTATATTTTGGGATTTTAAAAATCCCTCAGATTTCTATATCATGCTATATCTCAAACCTGATTTACTTGAAAAGGTCAATTATAGCTTTGTCAAAGCTTAGATTAGAAAAAATTTACAGAAAGTAAAAAAGTGAAAGCTGTTTTCTAAACTAGGCTCGTTGGTGTTTTTTCAGGCTGTTCCCTCCCTCTCTCCACCTCCCTCCCCCTCTCTCCACAGAAGGGCAGTCTGTAGCTCTTCTGCAAACCTGTTACCAGCTCCCTGCTTAGCTTGACAGAAGGCAGCCCTGTTCCTCTATGTTCCTCACGGGCTGGACGGGCAGCACCAGGTGTGAAATGCGGCTCCACAGCCCGCTCAGTTTGTCAGAGTCCATGTGGTTGAAGGAGCTGGGAGTGTTAGAGTTGGTAAATTTGGCCCAGAGTAAATCCCTCACTTTTTCTTCGGTTTCCCTTGGGCCTACAGTGGCCTCTAATGTTTCTTCCTCCAGTAGCACGGTCAGGACCAGTGCCACATCTTTAAAGGCCGCGTTCTCATGATCACAATACTTGTAGAAGATCAAGGTGGAGCCTGCAGGGAGGGATTCAAAGTGGTGGACCACGGCAGCCTTCTGGCCGTTCTCAAATCCAGAGCTCAGCTCCAAGTCAACCCACAGCTTGACCGTGTCGCTGTCGTTCATGGCTCTGTCCGCCCCATCAATCATAATGGCAGAGACTTTCTGGGAAGAGGTATAGGCATCAGCAACATGGTGGCTTAGGCACTTAAGGGTTTCTCTTCCCTCTCGAGCTGCTGTGAATATGATGGTGGCTGGCTCGGTGGGGTTCGAAGAATTCAGGTGCTTCTGGAGAAACTTACGTCCTCGCTGCCACAGGAAGGGACTCTGGCCCGGGAATTTGTCCTTCAATTGGCTGAACTGAGCCAAGAAGGCCTCTAACGCTGGATTTGGAGGCACTTGCTGGACTGGGGAGGAATAGTAGCTACTAACTGAACTTAACACAAAAGCCACGATAACCAGGCAGCCAAGAAAGAAGCCTGTCAAAGAAGGAGAAAACGAGAGAGAGCAGAGTCAGATGCAAAGCCTGTGATGACTGAAATGAGGCAGAGTGCTCAGCTCTCACAGGGAGGAGTAGGTTCCTTCCGCCTGACTCTTCTAAACTTAACAATTAAAGTCTACCAGAAATACCTTTTATCTCTTATTTTTTAAGATATGGCATTTTTGTTAATAGGTAAAAGTGGATTATATTTATCTTTTGTTGTCACTAATGTTTTTAGAAATGAGTGATTAGTATTTTCTTCCACTTTCTCAAAATGCTTACCACCTACAGCAAACAAGTTAGTACTCTGACTGGAAGGCGGGTTTAGTTTCTTGTTTATGAAAAGTGGGGATTTCCATTTTGTTTAAGCTCAGCAAAACATCAGCCAGTACCCCTAAGGGGGAAAAAATCCTCAAACTTTGTTTTATTTTACTATGACTTGCTATCAAACATTCTTTAGAAAGATATTAACATGATATTAAAACCATTTAACTGTGCTGGTTTTCTAGATATGTTCACTGAGGATTTATGAATGCGTTCAACATTACAATAAAACCAGGTTTGTTCTCACCATAGTTCCAAAAATTCTTTTTAGTAATCTTTCTTATGGTGGTATCCTGTGCAATCTCTTCCTTTTCTTCCAATATTTGTGTTTCTGGCTCATGACTTTCAGCCTCTGGAGGGAAGGGGAGGAACAATATTATTTTTAGACAGTACACTAATAAGAGTGTGTATGCCTTTATGACCTTTCACCTGACACTGAATTTCTAAACTTTGAAAAACTTTCTTTTATTCCACCAAGATTATAGATTAGCTCATTCCACTCTGTCAGGTTCTTTCCCACACATCAACTGCATTTTTAAAACAATGTTTTCTTTTCTACTCACAGTGAACCTGCATAATCCTGAAACTGTCCTTGGTAACAGGGCAACACCAAACAGGGAAGGGTTAAGTGGGTCCCCTCACCTGGGGCAGGTCTTCGCCTCCTCAGTGAATCCTGGCCCTCCGGCCCTGCGCTGGAATGACCAGGACTCGGGGCTTCTGGAAAGTCTTCAGCAGGTGGCTCCTCAGCAGCACTTCCCAGGCCTGCTGGCGCTCTTCCTACCTCCTGGCTTGGAGAGCAGCTGGGATCTGGATCCTGGGGATTTTCACCCAGCCCTTCTGAAGGGAAGTGGTGCCCTTGAGCGCTAGCCTCAGAACTGGGGCTGTTCTCGTGCTCTGTTTTATCCTCTGGATGGCTCCCAATATTTGTTTCATCTGGACTTTCTGATTTATCATCTGTATCTGCACTTTCTAGACCGTTTGCCTCTACCTCTTGGTGGTCTTCGTTAAGACCAGAGGCAGGGTGAGGGGTCTGAGCTGCTTCTTCTTCAATGGCACTTGCTGTCACTGTGGTCTCCTGTGCCTGAGAATTTATTGATGGATCATTTTCCAAAACCTTCTGAGAGTCTAGTGAGATAAAAATTTAATTTTTATTGGAAAAAAACTTTCCCCATATTTTTTGTATTTTAACAAGGTCCCTGATTGATATTTATATAGATTTTCCTAGTTAGAAAGTACCCTTCCTAAAGAGTATTTGTCTCTGACCCCACTAATGGTGATTAAAACAAACTCATTATCATGTTAATAAATCTAACAGCTAATACTAATGTAAAACAATTTTGAATGACAAAACTAATGTTTGAGTATATTAAATATCTCCTCTAATGAAAGGCAGTGATTATCACTGGCAGTTCAAACCATCATGCAAAAGGCTGATGGGGGATTTTATAATGGATGAATCAAACTGACAACTGCTGAACCCACTGACCAACCTTCCCATCATTAACCTCCCACTACAGGCAATGGAGAGTGCACCATCCCCCGTGGGGCATTCTTGCTAAACTGGACTTATGTTTGATTAAGCTTCTAGAGCTAATTACTAGTTTATAAGGATGTCATCAGCAACAATAAAGATAAATGGCCAGAAAAGGGGAAAAAAGGAGGGGTAATCTCTCTTAAAAAAAACCAAACACAATGTGCAGGCCAAAATGTTTAGGTCTAGTTTTGAATAAACCAATCATTAAAGAAACCACCTATGAAACAATCAGAAAAATCTGACTGCCAGATATTTGATGATATTAAGAAATTATCTTTTTAGGTGTGATAAAGGTATTGGGGGGCTGGGGTTGTAGCTCAGTGGCAGAGTGCTTGCCTAGCATGTATGAGGCACTGGATTCAATTCTCAGCACCATATATAAATAAATAAAATACAAGTCCATCAACAAATAAAAAAATATTTAGAACAACAAAAGTTATTGGATTATGTTTTTTTGTGGTGGGGGGTACTGGGGATCGAACTCGGGAACCACATCTGAACCACATCCCCAGCCCTATTTTGTATTTTATTGTATTTTACTTACTGAGTTGCTTAGTGCCTCACATTTGCTGAGGCTGACTTTGAACTCGTGATCCTCCTGCCCCCGCCTCCCAAACTGCTGAGATTACAGGCGTGCATCACAGCGTCTGGCCTGGGTTGTATTTTTAAAGAAAAGAATCCTTATCTTTTAGAGGGGCAAATTTTAGTACAGATGTCTAGAATTTCTCAGTCAGATGCTGAGGGAAGCAGGGACGAGGGAGCACAGACTTGAGAGTGTTAGCTCCGTGCTCAGGGCAGACCAAGCCGTTTACAGGGAGGCTCACTTCAGCCCTCTGCTTTTATCTATGTTAGACATAATCTATGATAAAGCTCAGGAAAAAAGCAGCCGAGGAGACATATCAGTAAAATGCAGTTGTGGCCCAACTAGAACGAAAACAAACTCAACTGTGGAAAAAAAAAATTATGAGACAACTTGGAAAATTTGAATACAAACAGGCTATGTAATGATATTAAGGAACAATAACTTCATCTTTCAGATGTGATGATGACATTTTAGTTATATTTTTTTAAAAAATCCATCTTTAAGAGATATAAACCTAAACATTTACAAATGAAGTCATATTTATCTTGGCTTTTAAATAATCCAGGGCAGGTAAGACCAGCGCTGTGCTGGTCAAAGGTGGAGCTGGACGCTGAGGATGCTGGGGAGTGGGGGTGGATTCATACTGTTCTACTTTTATACCTTGAAAAAACTTCCTTAATAAAAGATTTAAAATAAACATGTCCTCTTTCTTCTGAAAAGTCTATTTCATATTTTGGCTATTTTATATCTCATTTCTGTAAGGAGGAAGAAGACCCTAAGTCTCATCCTTACCTATAATTGAATGGTGCCCTCTAAATATAGCATATTACAGGTTTTTTGATTTTATAACTCTGAAGATCTGCTTACCATCTTTTTAAAAGATGTATGCATTTGGCCAATATTGTAAGTCCCTACTATCGAAGTGCCTAAAATATTTCTCTTCCTCATATTATAGTGAGGGTCTGCTATGTGTTAAAATTCAGTAAATAGGAACAAAAGAGAATAATCATAACAAATGAATCCACTGAGTTAGTCTTTTTACTTTAAAACTTCAGGGTCTTCTTTTTTTAATATATATTTTTTAGTTGTAGGTGGACACAAAACCTTTATTTTATTTCTATGTGCCTCACACATGCCAGGCAAGTAAGTGCTCTACCACTGAGCCCCAGCTCCAGCCCCAGCCCCAGAACTTCAGGTTTTAATCATCAGATTTTCTCTGGGCACAGCCCTAGTCTCCTACAGCATAAGCTCAGTGCCATCCCAACTAGTCTTACCCTCTGGAGGATCCCTAAGTCCACTGTCGGTCATTTTGTGTTCTATCTCTTCAGAGTTTAGGATACTTTTTTTAGTGTCTGGGTTTTCTTGTGAAGACATCTTGTTTTCTTCTCATCCCAAGTCCCAACAGACTTATGCTTCCCGCAGACCCAGGAGACAAGGCATATATACCATGACTACAATAAAATGAAAAACATTAAATGACTTTTCAGCCATGAAAAGGCAAAAATGCCAGTTTCATCTGTATTTTTTACACCTCTTTGGTCTACACAGTATTTCCTCTCTGAAATGTTCCTTGTGAAGAAAAGGCGCTTCTGGCTTTCATGAGCATTACCCTCCAAATCCTAGACCACAGAAAGAGGCCCCCGACTATTAACCGGGCACAGACGTCACGGTCTCCCAATACATCCCAGGGCTATGGAAAGGGTATGAACAATCATACCAAGGGAGCAGAGCCTGAAAGACCACAGCTCTGAACCTGAAATGCTAACGACTCCCAAGAGCAGGTCTGTGGCCACTGCAGACTTCCATATGGCTTGGACGACCCTTCACTGTGCAAAAGCTCACCTGTCAGATGCTCCCACTTTTTAACATGTAGGAATACATGGTGCCACCCAAATTCAATGACTGCCTATGGTCCCAGGGAGCACGCATCTGGAATTTCATCACCACCCTCCTAGAGCTTCTTCCCAGCACTCTTTTGTAAAATACAAAGATGAACCCTTCCTACAATGCCTTCCTATGTCATGTTCAGAAAATACAGGTAAAATATTATGAGCTTTATACAAAAAGACCAAAATCAGAGGCAGTTTGTAAGCAATAAAAACTTAGATCATTTTAAAATTGTCTTATTGTCAAAAACAAATTGGTTGGGCTGTGGTTGGGGCTCAGTGGAGAGCTTGCCTAGCACATGTGAAGCACTGGGTTTGATTCTTAGCACCACAAAAAAAAAGATTTTAAAAATAAAAAAATAAGAAAAAACAAATTGGTCAGTAAGTTACTTAACCTTCATTACCTGTTTAAAAAAAATGAGACAAAGCATTGTTGTATAAATGCAAAAACACATGTGAAAGAGCTTTGTACAGTTACATTTTTTGATAGCTAGTTGGTTAGCCTCTCAAACGGGCTTTCTTTTGTTTTTCTCACAATACCGTTGTAAAATTTAGTTTCACAAACTAAAATCTTTAAAATTTTGTATTCCAAATGCCTAATACAGTGCCCAGTGTATAGTAAGAATTTATTTTTAAATTTTTTTTATTTTTAAAATGAGAAAAAAATGAATGAATATATGAATCAACAGTGGTGTGGTGTATAAACTGGAAGGGAGGAATGAGGGACAGGCCCTTCTTTCCACTGATGTGAACACTTATGAACATGTCAGATTTGTAGGCTTACTAATCACCCCATTCTTCTTTAAGATCCTGGAATTGCTTTGCATTTAATTTAATTGTGCTATCCCCTGTTATAAGCAGAGTTTTCCTCCTCTCTGAGTTCATTGAAGAAAATAAAAAGTACCCAATCTTTTTCAATTTTGTTTAAAGAAAATTTTCTTCCTGCCAGCCCAAACCAAGAATATTTAGAGTAAAAAGTTTTCTATGTACCGGTGGAAAAAAATTTTAGAAAGTAAAGATGCTATTCACAATGAGCATAAGGTACCTAAAAACAGAAACTAAAAGGTACACAGTAAGAAATCTAACGACAGATGTGGGAGAACTTCAGGGAGAGATAAATTAAATAGAAAAATAAGTTGTGCATAGACAGTAACAATGCAAACCATTGGTGCCAATTTTCTCCAAATGGAATCTATAAATTCAACACAATGTGAAACACAATCTCAAGAAAGCTTTCTGATTGTGGTTGGTTTCTAACAGAATAGACAAACTGATCCTAAAGTTTGAAAATGGCTAGTGGCAGAGGATCGAGAAGAATTAAGAAAATCCTAAAGAAGGGGCAATCTTTAATGACACATTTAATAGAAACAATGAGGTCCTGGGCCAAGAACAGACCACTGGAACATGCAGAATAGTAAAAAAAAAAATACGTGGTCATATGTGTGTGAGTCTGTGTAAAGGAAGTTGGCTAAGTGACACAAAAAAATAGATTAATGAATAAATAGTTGAGGCACAACTGACAAGTCAAATGGGGAAAAAATTAGATTTTGACCTCACACAAAAATCAATTTCAGATTAAAGACCTAAATGTAAAAAGCAAAACTGTGAAACTTTCAGAAGATGTCAATATCTTTCTAACTTCAGCGGTTTCTTAAACAAAATATAAAATACACAAACCATAAGAAGAATTTGACAAATGTGATCACATGATAAAAGTTTAATTACTAGACAAGAAAAAATACGAAAATTAAAAGGTAAGTTGCTGACTAGAAAAATATCTGCAGCATATATGACTAGTCAAGTATTAACACCCAGAATACACAAAAACTCCCAAGTCAATAAAAGACAAATATGTTATGAAAAAGTGGGCAAAAGAGATGGACAAGCAGTTCAACAAAGAGGAAACCTAGAAGTCTAACAATTATGTAAAAAGAAGCCAAGCAAATGCTGCCTGTGAGGAAATCAGGACGGGCAGAGCAGCAGGACCTACCCTCCCTCACTCCATCCTACAAACCTCTGGCGCTGCCACAGGGGCCAGAGAAAAGGGCAGAAGATGGAGACCTGGGAGAGGACTGGGGGGAGGGGGCCAGGTGTGAGAAACACGTTTAAGTTTTTAAAGAGGACGAGCACAAGGAAATTAAAAGTTTAGCAGCAGTAGAGCAAAAGAAATTAGTTGTTCCAGCCAGGATGGTTTAAATGAGTGCAACTGTGACAAGGGCACAGCAGTGAGGATCCAGTAAGTTTATGTATTTCTAAATTTTTAACCACTCTTAGTAAATTATGTAACTTTAGGATCTCAGGATGAAAACCGATATCTTGACCCTCAAGCAATTTCTAATCCTGCTGAGGAAACAAACAACAAATAAAGCATGCACAATTGTAATAGCTAACATTTATTGAGCACCCTCTTTGTGCCAGGCAGCAAAGCACATTACTGACCCTTTAATCTTCACAACAATCTCATATAGTTGGGACAATTAATATTCCTCCTACTGTTTGGATGAGGAAACCGAGAAGATTAAGAACCTTACCCAAGAACACATGACCATTAAGAGCAGAGTCAGAATTTTCGAACAAAAAGAGCCTGGCTGTAGCACACAAAGTTTCGACTAAGACAGTTTGAAAATCTCAAACTGGTAAACAAAGCACCCAGGTCCTACAATATTAGATCTAAGTGTGAATGTGACCCTAGCATATGTGACCTGGCTGAATCTAGACATCTCTCTCAACTTTGCTCTACTTATTTGTTGTTGAAAAGCTCAGATGACATAGTAAATCATGTGGCAATGACATATACCATAATTAAGATTATCCATGAGCCTGAAAAATGTGACAAGGATCTGTCTGCCCTGGGTCATCCATTCCTTCAGGCCTCTTCACCTTTATACAGAAGACCATTTGACTTGTGACTACAGGCTCAACTTCAGACCTCAGAACAATCCTGTTTTTCTTGGGAGATTAAATTTTTGATAATTCAGAGCAAGTTCTAACAGGCTTTAATCCTTGTTCTAAAACTAAGACTCTACTTTATCCCATAGTTGTCATTTCTGCCTTGATGTCTTGACCTTCTCCTCGACCTTACTATGTGAAGTATGGTCAGATTACGTTATTACACTCGAACCCCACAATGGTATGCAGTAGGCATTATAACACTGCCTGTTTCACAGATGGTGAAACCACACATCATGGTTAACATGCCCAACATCATTTGATTGCATCAGAATTAGAACACAAACCCAGCTGGCAGCAAAGTCATTATTTTTCCTCCTTACAAAGCAGGTTTTAAGCCATGTCCTTAAAATTCCACGGAGTCTCAAGGGTTGCCAGTGGAGACCTAGGAGATGAAGTGGGTATGAGAAGCCACGACATGCAGACTGTCACATACTTTTCGGATGCCACAGACTTGCTTTTTTACCTGTCTGCTTGGCTAGGCCTCCTGCTATAACTTATTGTCTTATTTCAATCACACGCATTGCCTCAGAAGCCACCGCTCTGGTGGGTGTATATTTTCCCCAGTCTGCCCCAGTATGTTTCCACTCTCAAATCTGCCATTAAATAACTGGAAACAGGTATAATGGTCATTTTCAAAATGCTACCATTATGTCTAAGTAATACTATCAACTCCCACACAATGCAAATAGAGACTTATAAGGCTCACAATTGAAAATATCAGACCCCAGAGCAGGTTATTAGAATTAATTTTAGCAACCTATTTGTTTTAATGTCATTATTCATATCAACTACAAGGTATTCTAGAATAGTCTACAATATTTTAAGCCTTGTGAATTCATTCCAAAAACACCTAAGCTGAAGCAAAAAAAGGCTTTCTAAATTTTCTCCTTTGCTCAATTTTATGAGCTTTTCTACATCAAGTCGATTTGAGAGTGAACCCTAATAGGTGTGATAATGCCATCATGTTTGAAGGCAAAGTACCCTTGTTAATATTAAAATGAAGGTTTTTTTAAAATTCCCCTCTCTTGTCCACATACTTATAATGCAGTATACAACTGTTCATGAGGATGCCTGGGGAAGTCTTAATTAAAAAGAAAAATATGGCTGTTAAGACCTAAAATATCAACAGTGGCCTTCAGTCTGACATGAAACCTTTTTATATTCCATGTATAAAGTATGATAAATACAGGTTGAAGATCCCTTCTCCAAAATCCAGAGCATTTCAGACTTCAGGCTTTTGGAATATTTGCATAGACTTTATGGACTGAGTATTTCTTTTTTTTTTTTTTTGTACTGGGGATTAAACCCAGGGGTGCTTTACCACCAAGCCACATCCCCAGCCTTTTTTCTTTTTGAGACAGCGTCTAAGTTGCTTAGGGCCTTGCTAAATTGCTGAGGCTACCCTTAAACTTTTGGATCATCCTGCCTAAGCTTCCCAAACTGCTGAGATTATGTGCCACCATGCCTGGCCTGGTCAAGTATCCTTAATCCCAAAATTCAAAATGCTCCAGCCAAAAATTTTTGAGCACTGACAAGATAACTCAAAAATGTATGAGATTTTGGAATATTTCAGATCTCCGAATTAGGGACACCAAACTACATCATTACCTTTTAGTGTAAAAACTACTCACACAGCTCCCATCCTTTTAAACCAATAAGTAAATACCTTGGATGTGCTGCTGCAGAGTTTCTCCACTACTTAAAATTGGTTAAAATAAAAATACAGACCTTTTCTCCATTTTGCTGATATTGAAAATTTCACATATGTAGACTGTTTCCTTGCCGCAGTCCAGCTGGGCAAAATAACCGGGAGGTGACAAGCAACTTGAAGGTTAAAGTGGGAACTCAAGGTAGCGGGCACCTAAGGTAGCAGGCACTGCTTTACTGCGGAACAGCAGAGGTATATATGCCTAACTGATTACACAGAGCTTGACTCAATTAGCATCATCTAGATACAGCAGTCAGCCAATAAGGAATCCTTACCATTTTAATGGCTTGGTGGCGTTGCCTCACAAACCACTCCTCCTGGCAAACTGCCAGGTGCCATCTTGACTTGATTTGTGGTCCCCAACATTTCCTAGCATGTGGAAATGGAGCATAACCATTCTCTAATAATTGAAAAAATTCAGATGCAACAACATTATCATAGTGCTATCCTCAAAAGCCCTGTCTCTTTTTTAGGAAGAGCTTTATAGTAGTGAAGGGAGTTTTGAATCACAGGTTAATGATAAACTAAGTGGTCTTCACTCCGTTTAGCAGTCCACAGAGTTTATTCAGCAATGTAACTGGGGAGAACCATCATGATAGACATAAGGCAGAACACAGAAGTGGGTCTCTGGGATACATTCTTCACACAGACTAATAAATAACTTTAGGTTTCATAACATGCAGCAAGTATGATTTGTTGTGTGTCAACAGCCATTCATCCCCCACTTCTTCCTTCCTAAAAGAATCTTGATTGTATCAGTGGAGACCATGTGCCTCACTGGGGCAATACCAACCCCATTCCCCTTTGCCAGATTTCCCCAGGCTCCTTGGTTAACCTTCTAGTGAGATGTAAGAAGAAATCTGCTAGGAATCTGGTGGAAAGATTTTACTCCCAAACAAGACAGTCTTGAAGAGAGAAAGACTTTTGCTCCTTGCTTCCAGTGTCTGGTGGGATTAAAATGTCTGGGGCAACAACAAACCATATTACACTCATTGAGGAAATAAACCATGAGGACAGAAATCAAACACAGGATCCTAGAGGTAAGGACAGAAAGAATCTGGATCCTCAATAGCATTGCTGAGCTGCTGCACAAGCACTGGATTACCCAGCATCTTAATCTGAAAATTGTCCAGTGGCTTCTGAGATGTTTCCAACAGCTTTTCCCAAGTCGCCTAACTCCCAACTCTGGTTCTATGATTTTCATGAATAAGAGAAGGCCAGACATGGCCAGCAAGACTTTCTAAGAAAGATTCTTCCACTAGACTGTTCATAATTCATATAAAGTCAAGCTTGGTAATTCCTTTTGCCATAAACCTCACAATACAGGTACTTTTCCATTTCCAAGGGAGGACATTTTAAGTTTCAGTCACTACAAAGACAGGGTGGTCTTTGGTTATGTAGAGCCAAGTTAAAAATGTAAACAGGCAGCATTTTTACATATTTTTGTGTAAACTATGTAAGTGTTGCCTAATAGAATATAATTTTTCTGGCCATGACCAGTTATTAACATGAGGATGGGGCCAAACAGAGCAAGAGGAATAAATAGTTACATATGAACAAATTTTATATACACACACACTCATACATCTCTATCACCGATAGATGTAGAAGAGGGACAATTTAGAACAATGTAGTTTCTTATTAAAATTTATTGGAAGAATCTAGAATTCAGCTACAGTGAGGATGCTTTCTCGCAAAAGTTACTATTAGAAATACAATTATGGGGCACATAGTATGGGGCCTCCCCTCCAGGAATACCTAGTTGGATATCAATAATTAGGCTGTACAACTTTTTAGGAGGGGCAAGCAAGCTAGTTTCAAAACATTATTTATATGCATTAGTCTGGTTCTAGATGAACCATCTGGTTAGAATACTAAAATATGCTAAATAAAATATGCTTAGGCCACAGAAGCAGACCCAATAATTTAAGCAGTTCCCCTAAGTAGTGCCTGGGTCAGATTCAGAAATGAGGCTGGGGATATAGCTTAGTGGTGTAGTGCTTGCCTAGCATGGGTGAGACCCCAGGTTTGATCCCCAGCACACCCAAAAAAAAAAAAAAAAGGAAAAAGAAAAAAGAATTATATTTCCATCTTCCTTGGGCTACTAGCACAAAACCCTCTACAGTCTCCATGATTTTTTCTATTATTGAAGTTATTTATTTTGGCCAAGTTTTTTGTTTAAGGTTTTATCTGTTCTGGTCAAGATTAACTGTAATGCAGGGTTAAAACCAGCTACTCTGGAGTCATGTATTCTTTTTCTAACCAGTGGAGGACCCAGAAGAAATGGATGGCAAGCTTTTTCAAAGGTCCACCTGGTAAGATTTTGGGGAGCCCACTCAAGTGGGAAAGACCAAGGAAGAACAAGGCTTCTATTAGCAGGATTATCAGGATAGCATTCTGGGCAATAATCAGCTCTGTTAATACGGTCTAAGAATACTTGGTAGCATTCATTTTCAACAAGTTCGGTTTGGTACAACCAATGGCCTAGTTCTAAACTAGGGAACCACTGCTGCCCACAATCAGGGCAATGTGAATTATCGGAGAACATCTGGACTTCAAAAGACAACACAAGAAGCAATGTAACAGCAAGAGGCAAATTGACAGAGAGACACCCAAAAAAGCAGTCCCGTTACAGGTTTGTTTAGCAATTTCTCAGTTCAACCAGCATTACTTGCAGAAGGTTCAATGTGGCTTGCACCTCAGTGCAATTCTTCAAGATTTCGTTGTCTGGTGTTCACTCAGTTGCAGCTCAATCTCTGACCTCAGGGACCGATGCAGACTATGATGTTATCAGTCACCTACTAGCAGTGCAGATCTCAGAACAACTCCTTCAAATCCCAGCTTCACAAGAAAAGAGAGGGCTCTAGTCTCAATTAGTTATTTTTTCTTGTGCGTTATCAGCCAGTGGTGGCGTCACACAGATACGAGGCTTACTCTGCGTAGTTGGTGCTGGCAACCTTGCAGTTGTAATACACGTACCCAAGTCTTCAGGCCTTGACACTTTACAGTGCTGCAGAGGAGGTAGAAAAACCTGGCAGATTCCTCTTAAGCGTGGATCTAATGAAGTCTGTCTTGGGAGGACCTTAATCTGGACCCAGTCACAGAAGTAGCTGATGCTGACTTGGATGGAGGGTCTGGGAATGCGTCACACACCTGTAAATGATAAAACTTCAGACGACTCATATGGGCTTTGCAGTTGCTCACAATATCATCAGAAACATGCATCTGAAGGGCTGGGGGTGTGGCTCAGTGGTAGAGCACTTGCCTAGCATGCAGGAGGCCCTGGGTTCAATCCCAGCACCACAAAAAGGAAAGAACATAAGAGACATGCATTTAGAACTTATTTGGATCAGTCAGGGTAGATGAGACTATAGTATGGGTTCAATCAAATTTATCTTCTGGGAGTCATGCTCATGTGAGCTCTAAGAAAGGTTTTGGATTATTTAGGATTTATATAAGAATGTTTTTAGGACTAGATTTCTTTTTTATACTCCTTTTGCACTTCTGGAATAATAAGGTCTGTATAATCATATTTAACCTGGTTAAACTTTAAGAGCTCTAGTATATCTCTTCTGTGAAAGGGATGCCGTATATGGTATTCCCTAAACATTAACGATGTGTGGGATGACATTAATGATGTAGGCTTTCCATCACAGACTTCAATCTGAACAGGAGAAAGCTTAAAAAATTATTAGGTAATATTCTTAATAGCTAACCATAGGAAACTGGATAAAACCCTTTTGAAGGCTGAAAAAGAAACCAGTGGGGCAGGTCTCATTGCCTACGCTTGTCTTCGCAGGTCAATGCACACTGTGTTTGTGAAAACAAGTATGTGAAGGCACAGCCCTGAACAAGAGACCTGATGTACCTTGGAAAATGCATCATCAACCAGTTGGAATGTGCAGATGCTATCATCACTCTGTGCTCCCTCATGCCACTGAATGTAACATGTAAACAGGGGGGGAGTAGGGTACCTGAAACACCACAGCCATTAGGCAGAACCCCAGATTAACAAAATTACATCATATACTCTCCCTTTCTCCAGTGTTCTTTTTGTAAATTCTGAGACAACAAGGGACAACATGGAACACTAGGGAGGGTGTAAGTGGTAAAACTGTATAAAGAACTAGCCTGAAAAGCAGGACTTACAGCCTCAGTGTAGGCAACCATTTTCCTTACAAACTTGCAAGAAGAGTCATGATTCTGATTTTAAAATGGCAAGTTGAAAAGGCAACGAAGAGCCTCCTACAGTGATGTGAAATGGGGCCCGTGTTTCAATGGTACCCAGAGGTAGTGAAAGAGTCAATATAGATTTATTGACCTGTTTTTTGGTGAGATGACAATGAGTGGATGAGTCTACCGAGTCAGGCACTCAGGCAGAGTGGAAGAAAGGTAGGATCTCCGACTCAGGTGCGTTTTTGACTCAAGGACTTCCTTGGTAGTGACTGTACAGGGAATGATAGATTTCCCCGAGGCTCTGTTGACAGAAACAATCAAAATAAAATTTCAGGTGCTAGATTAAATATAGAGTGTATAGTCATAGAACAGACAGATGGGAAATAAAACCCTCATAATTGTGGAACTCATTAAACATAAATGATAAAAGCAAAGTTTCATGACTAAGTCAGATACAGAATTTGGAATTTTTAGAGTGAAATCAGGGAAATGCAATTAAAACCATAGCAAGATACTATTTTACATCTACCAGATTGGCAAAATTGACAAATCTGACAATGGAGGCCACATATCATTCGAGGTAAAAGCATCTCTCCCCCAGGAATCTCCATTTCCATCTATAGGAGTTAAGAGACAGACCTAGAGCTGGGTTACATCCAACTTCAAGAATCAAGCAATCACCAGAACTCCAAGTAATTCTGAATCAAAACGCTGGTGTTGCAGATGTCTCAGATGAGCTACACTTGCCCTGATCCCTCAAACCACAACAGACAAGAATCAAGGGGGACTAAAGATCTCCAAGTGCTCAGAATGCCACCCATTACCAGCCTCCTTGCTCACTTTTCAGTCTTAATACCACTAGGATAAGTTGAGAGAAGGGTCAAATGCTTCTGGCACAATTTCCAAACCCCTGCACCTCACCAACACTCATAGGGTTACTACCATTATTTGCTTGCAAGCGTCAGAACCAATCTCATACCTGCACCTCTGTTCATGTCAACCATCACATGAAGCCCCAGCCTTCCTGGCTGTCCTTCATCCCCTTAAGACTCTCACTGCCCATATGGCTCTGAGAGCAGAGAGAGAAAGCACCCACTCCCCTTTCTTGACTTGACCCCACAAAATATGTTAACATCTTGCTATATTACACGTTTTAGCTTTTTTGGCCACTAAAATATAAACTGCCTGAGAAGAGGGCTTTTAGTCCTTTTATTCACTGCTTGAAGTGTCCAACAAATATTTCTTAAAAGAAGTAAATGACAAGGAAGAGCAATTTGAACCCTTATACTCTAATGTTAGTGTGTAAGTGAGTAAAACCACTTCTGGATGAACTTAGCATTATCTAATAATGCTAAAGATGTGCACTACTCATAACTCAGCAATTCCACTCTTAGGCATATACCCTAGAGAAACCTGTGAATACACATTTAAAAACATGAATAAAAACACTGAGTAGCCCTATGTAACACCAAACTAACAGCCAAAATGCCCATGAAGAGTACGATAGGTAAATAAATCCAGGTATCGCCACACAATGGAATACTGTGTATACAGAGATAAAACTTTATTTAAGGATAAACATGCAGTAAAGCTAAGAAGAAAAGACAATAAGCATCAAACCCAGGGTACCCAGGGTAACTATTATCTTTAACTGGAGGATTAAAGGAGAGGACCTAGGAAGACATTCCTAGAATTTTAAAGATAACTAGATGGAAGAAAAAAAATGTTCAATATATCACAATTCCTAGTAACTTACAGCATTTCTATTCAATATTTTATAACTTAAGAAGAGCAACAATACTCTTTTAAGAGATCAATATGGATCTTTGCTTTTCTCCTGAAATAGTAACCACCATTTTTTCTACAGAAATGAGGTAAAAGAGGCCTACCTAATGCTGGTATGATAAAGAATGTTTATTTTGGCATTCCCCATGAAGGAATGCATTTGTGTGTAGGAACACTGCTATTTCATACAGTGTCTCTGCACCAATTAGAAAAACAAACCCTTCCTCCAGGCAATCTGCAGCCTCCAGCACCTCACCTGGCCAGGTATTCAACCACTCACAGTAACACACCATCAGCTACTCCTATTGTCAACAACAGCTAACAGCAGACCTGAGGAAAGCCACTTTCTCTTCTAAGTACTTTATGTGTATTAACAATTTAATCACCACGATAATCCACAGGAGGATTATTATCCCCATTTCATAGTTACGAAACAGTTAAGCAACTTGCCTGACGTCACATGCATAGCTTTAGAGAAACCAGATTTGACCATCCTGATTCAGAGTCTTTTTACTCTTAACCACTATGAGACACTCCCTTTCTAAAACAGTGACAGTTAATACTTTAGAAAGTCCTTTCACAAACTGTTCACAAATTTCCAGGACACGGTTTGGTAGTGTGTATATTAGGGTGGAGATGAGAGAAATCACCTCTCATGATTTTCCACCCCCATACACAAAAAGATAAACAGGATAGGTTTCAGGGCTTTCTGAATCCTCTGACATTGCATATAAAAAATTTTATATGCATTTTTTCCCAGAAAGATGGTACATGCTTTTGGACTCCCAAAGGAATCTAAAATGGTTCCTAATCGTTTCACTACCAAGGGCAACTTTTGTTCCCCCCATGTCATTTTGGAAAGACATTCGAACAATCTGCACTCTCATAGCCTCGTAGATTTGCCAATCAGAACTTCTAATAAAAAAACTAGTGTTATTAGCTTTAGTTAGAACTTTCAACATTTTAAACTAGAAAATACTATTCAAAATATCTATACTATAACATTGGAAATATTGAGATACCCTGAATTTGCTTCCTTCTTCAATTCTACTAACGCAAGTCAAAAGCAGTTGATTGGGGCTGTGGCTCAGTGGTAGAGTGCTCACCTAGCACGAGCGAGGCCCTGGGTTCAATCCTCAGCACCACATAAAAATAAGTAAAATAAAGTTGTGTCCAACTACATACAACTAAAAAATAAATAAATTAGCAGTTGATTTAAGGTAAAAGTATTACTATCATTGGGCTTTTAGAAATGCTGAAAATATCTTGAAAACTACCATTACCCTACTAACGATTAAACACAATTCTTTAAGGGGGGCTCACCATGGGCCAGACCCAATGCCAATTATTATAGATAAGAAAAAACAATCTTTCAAGACTTCTATGTCCAGGGAATCCAGAGTGGAATCAATGCTATAGGTGAAAGCTAAGGACTTTAGAGGGATATAAAAAAAGATAACCTAACATTTAGCAAGATCACAAAAGAAGCTGGAATGCCTCTATTTTCAAACAAACTAAATGACCAAACACAGTGGGTAAAAAACCAAAGCTTAAAGAGGTCCTGTACAGCACAAAAGAAACTACCAATCAGTTTTTTTGACTGTGAGAACTAAAGTAAATATAAGATTCTTCCTGAAATTGTATTAGGGGAAATTTAGGGGGGGCGGGGAATAGTACTTTAGCACCAAAATAGAAAATGCAGTTCTAGCTGGACATGGTGGCACACGCTTATAATCAATCCCAGCAACTCTGGAAGCTAAGGCAGGAGGACTGCCAAGTTTAAGTGCCTCTGGGCTCAATTATCACTATTAAAAAAAAAAAAAAATGAAGTTTTGTTTAATTCATTGAAATTTATATCAGCTAACCACAGCAGCTTTATACATAATAAATAACATTCTTTATTATTTCTTTAACAAATTGCTAGTAAGCAAGCTCAAATTTGTCTTTGATAGACAAAAATTCGCTCATTCTTTTTAGTGGTCGAATATAATTAAATTTCAGACTAAGTCTGATTATTAATTATTAATTATTAGGGTGACAAATTTTTAATATATATATATTTTTTAGCTATAGTTGGACATAATATCTTTGTTTTACTTATTTATTTTTATATGGTGCTGAGATTCGAACCCAGTGCCTCTCATGTGCCAGCCGAGCACTCTACCCCTGAGCCCCAGCCCCTAGAGTGACAATTTTTCAGGGAATATATCCCTTAGACTTCAGCCTTGACCAAATTCCTCATATGATACACAAAATCAAAAGCACATTAAAAAAATAAAAGCTTTGATTCTTCTCAAATTTCCACTTAAAATATTCTTTTTCACAGCATAATCTAAGGCTAATCAACAGTCCTAAGTGTCTACTTTTTGTATGAAATAGTTTCTCTGGTAAGTTTTATACACAAAGTGAAATCTTAAGAGCTTCATATTTCATGAATTCTCAGTTTAGATGATTAGGCAATATGAAAATAAAAAAGCCCCTCTTTTGAATTCATATACTCTAAAATAATTCTTTGTTGAAAATATTTTATAAAAAGAAATAGTCCTGAAGACTTTATTTTGTGAAGAACTACCTTTTTTTTGAGCAACTACTTTTAGTTTGTCAAAGTCTTGAGATCACTGAGAGAAGGTATGTGGATGATAATATTTAGTGCTACTTAGCACAAACACTGTTGAGATAAGCTAATTTAAAAAATATGATCCTAGGATTGAGGACAGCTGCAGAATGTTCTTGTCTCACTGCAGGAACTGACAAACAAAACAGGTGTGTGTATGTGTTGTATAGTGGGGGTTGGGGGTATGTGCGCAAAGAGAACACATAGTTTAGAAGTTTACTGGCACATTCCACCTACTCTGCCCTACTAGATCAAAAGTCCATGGTTCTATCCACAGTTTCCATTTAAAATACCAACAGCAAATAGATTTCAACAGTCAGACCTGGTACAAGCTTAGTATTTTAATACTTGCAATAGCTATTTGTGTTTATAACAAATTTCTAGGTCTTGTCCACTTCTCTACACCAAATCCACTGTCATAATATCCCAGTACTATTTTTTCAGTTTTTCTACTCATTTTCCAGTATTTTCACTTGTTCCAGATTTTTAAAAGAGGGTTTAAGAGGGAGTTTAAAACAGGAACAAAAAAGAACTCCCATTACTTCCTTATGGAACTGTTTTTAACAGAGACTGAATGCCTGGAGCGGTTCAGATACTACACGTACTTTCTGAGTGCGATTTTTTTTTTCCTGCTTATCCTTCTTCCTCCCACTCCCAACCCTTTGATTCATATCTCTCTGGTTTAGCCTGACCTTGGAAAAGCAATAGCAATACACAAAAAATTCAAGAGTTTGCTAAGATTTCCAACAGTGGGTACCATAACTGACTCTCAATTTATTACTCACCTTCCCTAGTCACCTTTTATATCTACTTCAAGTGAATATATTTTTATTACACTTTTTAGTACGAACTAATTTTAAGACTTATGGGAAAATTGCAAGAATTTAGTTTAAAAATTAAAAAGTCCCTTTATATCCTTCATTTAGCAACTATATAATTAAAGTACAACTATTAAAACCAAGAAATTAACATTGGTGCAAGTCAATTAAAAGAATATAGTCCATGTTTCATTAACATTCTTTTTCTGTTTCAGGGACCCCCATTGCACTTAGTTGCTATTTCTCCTTAGTCTCCAATATGTGACAGTTCCTCCATTAGTTTTCATTTGTGACTTTTCCTCATCTTTGTGACTTTGACACTTTGGAAGAGTATGATGAGTTTGGAGAGTGTCCTTCTGTAGGTTTGTTTAACATTTATCATGATGAGAAAGACAAAAGAGGTGATGCATTTTTGGCAAGAACAACAAACACCACAGATGCAATGCTGCGTCTTTCTCGTCTTTCTCACTGTGTCCCACAGCCAGATTCATGACGCCCAGATGTTTTATGTGATGTAAACCTTGATTACTTGGTCTACAGTTTCTCAACTGCTGAGTTACTATTTTTCCTTTGTAATTAATAACTATCTTTGGCAAGAGACTAGAGACTATGTAAACAGCCTGATTCTCCACTAACTTTCACCCACTACCATATAGGTAGATATATCTGCAACATTTAGTATGGTGCTATTTGCCTACTGGTGATTTTCTATTTCCTTCTTTCCTTCTGTTTATTAATTAAATTCCTCTGTAAGAGTTATCCCTTCTCCCTTCTTATTTGTCTATTCGGCTAGTATTAATATAGACTCATACTTACTTTGAGGGTTAAAATTCGACCACTATTGCCAGTCACAGTTGTACACGCCTGTTAATTCCAGCAACTCTGGGAAGCTGAGGCAGCAGGATCACAAGTTTGAGGCCAGCCTGGGCAACTTAGTAAGACCCTGTCTCAAAACAAAATAAAAAGGACTGGAGATATAGCTCAGTGGTAGAAAACCCCTGGGTTCAATCCCCAGTACCACAAAACAAATAAACAAACAAACAAACTCAATACTCATTTTGTTATTCTCTGTTTTAACTTGGCCATTAGACAATTCTCCAAGTTGCCTTGTGCCGCCACTGTGCGTGCATCTCAGGAAGCTAAGGCAGAAGGATAGCAAGTTCAAGGCAGCCTCAGCAACTTAGCAGGGCTCTAAGCAACTCAGCACAGACTCTGTCTCAAAAGAAAAAGGGCTGCGGGTATGGCTCAGTGGTATTGTGCCCTGGGTTCAATCCCTAATACCAAAAAAGAAGATTCTCTAACTTGACTTTTCTCTTTTCAATAAACACCCAAACTTTTGAGTACTTCCTTAACTTCAAGCATCATGACATGTTCCAGGTTCTCTGGTATTTTCTCTGTCCTGGCCCGGAAATCAACCTGGTTCCTTCAAAAATCAAGATCTAGGTGCTCAATGCTATTGGGGTGTCACTGTCAAGCCAACAACTGGAACAATAAACCCCACCCCTTTTTTTTCTTTTGAGAGGTCTCACCATGTTGCCTTGGCTGGCCTCATAACTCTCAATACTGCTGCCTCAGTGTCCATGTAGGTGAGATTACAGGCACACCACCATGCTTACCACTAATATTAATATTGTGTTTCCTTACTGTACTAAACTTATTAGCTGGGAATAATTAGTATCTCCTGGGAGTTTGTTAGAACTACAAATTCTTGGGCCCCACTCCAGATCCATTAGACCAGAATCTCCAAGGTCTCCTAAAAGAATTTGGTCTGCCAGATGATTCTGGTGCTCACTATAAACTATAAGGTTCAAGGAGCATCTTTCTTTATTATAAACCCTATGTTTATCTCTAAAGTTATAAAAAAGGAAAGTGTAGTCCTAATAACTTCCTTGCGTATAAATATTTTTATTGCCACAACTAATAAAACAGATGAGTGGCCTCATCTGTTAAGGCTCTAAACACTTCCCTATTCTTTATCATTTTCCTATAAGATGATGTTTACATCTGGTGGTCTAAGTAGTTATCATGTACAGATGCTGTTACTTTTATAGAAAGAAGCTGCAAGTCATCCTCCAGGATTAACTCCTGATTATTACATATATGATCTAGTAGCCATGTAACGAATCTACAAATATAGAAGCCAACACAGCACTTGCCACTAAAGCCAACTGCCTTGGCATTAATGACTGCTCCTGCTTCTGATCTGAATTCTCTCTCTTTGCCTTTGGTTTTCTTAACCACAAAATGGAATAACACTAGTTAGAAGACAGAGGCAGGGTGCGGATAAATGAGATGATATGTAACACCACTGTGGGGCATAAAAAAGTTCTTGAAAACGTTTTTTTTTTTTTTAAACATACTGGGGAATGGGAAAAGTTCCTTTTTTACCAGTAGATCAGAAAAAAGGCAAACCCAGAGAGCTCTATTCATATAGTTACAATAAAACTTTCAGAGCCTCCTGATGCAGGAAGAGCACAAGTTTGAGGCCACAAGTTTGGGAAACTTATCAAGGCCTTGTCTCAAAGTAAAAAAGGCTGAGGATGTAGCTCAGTGGCTCTGGGTTCAATCCCCAGTTGGGAAAGCAACAACAAAATAAAAAGAACTTCTGAAGTTAACAAACCAATGTTTGTACATTTGCAGTCATGGACTACAGAAAAATACATAAAAGGTAAAACAATTTGATGTGTTAAGGTAAGTGGAATTATAGGTGAATGTTCTTCCTCTCTAGTTTGTTTACCAAAATCATGTTATAAAACTCCTTTAATACTAGTATGAAGGAAAGTAGCCCAATAAATAATAGCAATTTCCACTCATCTGGAGTCCTTATACTATCCCATTTAATACTCCAAATGACCCTATGAATCTCTACTAATAAGGAAATGGCTCAGCACTACAAGGTTATCTATGAGAGTCACATTGTCAAAGAACAGGATTCAGACCCAGCTATACTCCAAAGTCTATATGCATAACCAATATTGGGGACACCATTCCTTATTCCCAAACACTTGATTTTTCTGCCTGAAATTCATGATCAAGTATAATCACCATATTGAATCATCTCTTGTGAGCATGGCTTAAAAAGCGGTTCATAAAATACAAATATAGTCAGCTGGAAGAAAAAAAAGCCACCCAGCAATTCTTTATTCTTTACATTTTTGGTGTGTTGTAGAACCTCCAAGTTTATATGCTTTCACAGTTGGCTTAGTGCACAAACTCAAATAGATAAAGCAGATAAGGATTCTCTGAGCAAACTTCCTTTGGGAAATTCAAGTGGCACTTAAAGTGGACTTCTACGAATACAATTTAAAATGACTTCTCAGGTTAAAGATACAACGTATTACCAACATATCCAATAATCCTGCAATAAGTAGCTAAATTCTGATTTATTTTTCATTATAGACGCTCCTGTAGAATACAGAGTCCCCAGCTTGATGACCAGTTTTGCTACAGGGTTATCATGTTACCTTGGATGACTCATTTAAGCTCTGTTTTATCTGGTTTTCTTCTAACATAGAGATAAAAGCTTCCATAGCAAATTTTCATTTTTCAAACTATTCTAATCCAAAGGCTTCCAAATATAAATTTTTCTTCTTCAACCATGAAGTTCCTTTTTCCATTTTCACTGGCCATTTACAAACTAACCATGTGTTTTAAAAAATAGAACGGATAAACTTTGGTAGCTGTCAAGGCTTTAATTCTTTTTTAAAAAAATATTTATTTTGGGGGGCTGAGGATGTGGCTCAAGCGGTAACACGTTGGCCTGGCATGTGGGGGGGGGGTGCTGGGTTTGATCCTCAGCACCACATAAAAATAAAGGTGTCGTGTCCCCCGAAAACTAAAAAATAAATTGTAAAAAATTTATTTTTTAGTTGTAATTGGACACAATACCTTTATTTTATTTGTTTTTATATGGTGCTGAGGATGGAATCCAGGGCCTTGCACAAGCTAGGCCAACGCTTTTCCGCTGAGCCACAATCCCCAGCCCCAAGGCCTTAATTCTTAAAAAATAAAGAGGAAACAATCCCTCATATACATCCAAAATAAGTATTTTAAAACCTAAAGAGAGGTAAAACAAACAAAACCAGCCAGGCGCCAGGACACACGCCTGTAATCCCAGCAACTGGGGAGGCTGAGGCAGGAGGATCCTAAGTGTGAGGCCTGCCAGGCAAACTTAGCAAGGCCCTCAACAACTTAGTGAGACCCTGACTCAAAACAAAAAATAAAAAGGGCTGGGGATGTGGCTCAATGGTAAAGTGTCCCTGGGTTCAATTTCCAGTACCAAAAAACAGTATGTTTAATCAAGTAAGATCACTCATCTCCGGATCTCTCTAACAGTACAAAGTCTAACAAGTAAGCACTACTGATAAGTACGGAGACTTTGTTCAAAGAAGGAAAAGGAATGAACTTTTTCACAGGATATGAAATATAATTGAGAGTATATAAATACGCAAGCAAAACAGTAACCATGGGTCTTACTAAAACTTCAAACTTTTTAGCACCATTAAGGACGAAAAAAACACTATCTTTTAAGGACTAAGATGCGTGCCGGGGTCCTGCTGGGCGTGGAAGTAAAAGGAGTAACCTCCACCTACATCAGCAGATTTCCCGTTCAGGGTTCGAAACCAAAGGGAATTCAGCTCCTGGTCTTAAAATCCAAACCAACAATGCGGCGCGGCGCGCTGGACGATCCGGATTCCGCCGGCCCCCGCTCGCCCGCTCTCCCGCGGGCTGGGCCGGCCCCACACCCGTCCCGGGTCCGGGGCGGGCCGCGGCTGAAAGGCCTCTGAAAGGAGCAAACGCCGTTCAGCCCCGGCCTGCAAGGCCGCGTGCCCGTCCCGCCTGCTTACCAGGTCCAGCGGGGATCTGGGTGGGGAGCTGTCAGCGGCAGGGGAGACCGTCAAGTGTGCCTCCAGCTCCAGACGCCGAGAAGCACCCTGCGGCCGCCGCGGCAGAACGTCTTCTACCCCCGTCCACGTGACCGCCACCTCCGCCGGGAGGCGCGAGGAATGCTGGGATGGGTAGTTTCGGGGCCCCGCCTCCTGCGGGCCCCTCCCTCTGCTCCACGCCCCGGCCTCTCTGGGGCCTGGCTGCCAGCGAGAGCCGGAGTGGGCCTGAGTGACCAGTACTGGTTGCCCGGCTTCTCCTGCTCATCTGGAAGGAACACAGACACCTATGCCACATGCCTGGCCACTCCAACCCTTCAAACGACCTGAAATCCATAGATTAGGAAAACCTATGGGGCCCAACAGAGTGAGAAGCGGTGTATAATGAAAATGGCCAACACCAGCCCAACCTGACTTGGAACCCAGCCTCTGCCATGACTAAGAGTGTGTCCTAATGAGTTACATAATCTAAACCTCAGTTCTCTAGTGTGTCAAACGGGGACAAGGCTACATACCTATGTGAGGTTGCTGTAAATGATATAATGTAAGCAGCATGACCATAGTAAACCATGAATCAGAAATATCTATTATTTGGTTCTATTAACTTTTAAAATATTTTTTAGTTGTAGTTGGACCAATACCTTTATTTTATTTATTTTTATGAGGTGCTGAGGATCGAACCCAGGGCCTCGCATGTGCAAGGAGAGTGCTCTCCCATGAGTCACAATCCCAGCCCCTGATCTATTAATTTTTATCTGTGAAAAGAAATGGCGAGGGCTGGGGATGTGGCTCAAGCGGTAGCGCACTCGCCTGCATGCGTGCGGCCCGGGTTCGATCCTCAGCACCACATACCAACAAAGATGTTGTGTCCGCCGAGAACTAAAAAATAAATATTAAAAATTCTCTCTCTCTCTCTCTCTCTCTCACCCCTCTCTCTCTCTAAAAAAAAAAAAAAAAAGAAAGAAAAGAAATGGCGAACAATTTATCCAAGAACATGTAATTGGGTAGGGGAAAAGCCAAACATGTCTAACATTCCTGTTCCTGTTACCCAATCAAAACAACTAAGAAGAAATCTGTAAATCTCGCCCTTTCATTTTTTTTTTCCCAACACACTTTATTAACTTTCACTTTTGTCTGCGCTTGCTTTGGCAGCACATATACTAAAATTGATTTTTGTCTGACTCCTATTATTGAAAATAAAGTCCAAGGGCTGGGGTTGGTGGTACACTGAGTCACCCCAGTTGACTCCAGAGGCTATAGTAGGAAGATTAAGGAGCCTCAGCAACTTGAGACTCTGTTTCAAAATAAAAAATTTTGGAAAGGGCTGGGGATACTCAGAGGTAGAATGCTTCTGGGTTCAAATCCCCAGTACTGCAAAGAATAAAAAAATTTTTTTTCTGTTGCTTGTGAGAATGCAGCCAGATACTATGTCTTTATTTCCTCTTAATATTTTATTATTTTCTTTTTAGATTTGCCCCTTCTATCATAACCCATGATCACAAAGTTATTTCCCTATCCATCCAGAAATGTATTATGCATTCATTGATGCTTTCTCTTTAATTTCTGCTTACTTTTAACCAAAAAATCCTGTACCAAAATTATTTTAAAGTAAGTTTAAAGTAAAATGTTTCATTTAAAATTGCTTCATTTAGGTATCCAATGTCAAGAGCACAGGATTTCCACCTCTGGCTATACCAGCTAGGTAAGCAATCAATGCCAACCATTTATCTGAATTATAATTTATGTCAAGTATATGACAAATTCCTTCATAGTTGTCTTCATCTTTGTTGCCCAGAATATATTATATAACGTATTCTTTTTTAAAATTTTTTCTTAGTTATACATGGTCACAAGATCTTTATTTTGTTTATTTTTATGTGGTGCTAAGGATTAAACCTGGTGCCTCACAGGTGCAAGGCAAGTGCTCTGCCACTGAACCACAATCCCAGCCCCATAATGAATTATTTAAAAAAAAATTTTTTTTGTAGTTGTAGATGGACATCATATCTTTATTTTTTTTTTTTTTCATGTGGGACTAAGGATTGAACCCAGTGCCTCACATGTACTAGGCAGGTGCTCTGCCACAGAGATACAACCCCGGCTCAACAGTTAAAACATTTCTTTCTTCTGAGAATATGAATTCCTCTATATTTCTAAAATTCCTAGTTACTTTTTTAACATCTAGAGCTCAAGTCTCCTCTTGGAACTGGTGGCCCATCAAATCTCTTACAACATTGGCTATAAGTCTACTGTTTCTAATTTCATTTGGGGCACCCTTATGTAGTCTGTAGTTTGGAAAACATCTACAGTAGAATATCTGGTTTTACAAGACTTCCTTTAACTCAATTAGTAATGAAAGTTTGGTATTTATACGGTTGCTAGGTGTGGGAGGCAGTTATTTAGAACTAGGATCATGTGTTCTTATAACCTAAATAAAACAGGGAAAATCCTAAGCAAATATATGTGTTAATACTAAAGTTACCATGCTTCTCATTGTCTTAAGATTCTCATTTATTTTTTTAAAAAGTCTAAGCCTTTTATAAGCAGTTTTAATTATAACACATATACTAATTATTTAATAACTTGTAAAACTTCCCATCTCTGATTGTTCAATACATGTAGAACCTCTTGTCTTTTTAATATGTTCCCCCAAACAAAAAGTTTCATAAGCCAATATCCAAGTTCCTATATAATCACCTGTCCCAGTAAATGTTTTAAAGAGGCTTTTAACATATGCTCTTAACATATGTTCATAATGAGCTTAGTATATTAATATTATAAAAGTTGTATTCTCTAATAATTACTGCATGTCTATTAAATAATTTTTACTATTATGTGTCAATAATGAGTAATGTAATAGCCACCATGCTGAGAAAGAATTACTTAAATAAAAGTCAGATATTACCAAGTATCATTTGGTAGAATATATCTCAAATTTTCCAGATTAACAACAAAGAGTATCCTTTTCATTTTCAACAACTTTTTTAAAAAAAGTCTTGTTAATACTACTCCAGTTTCTTTGGTTATATTAAATATTCTTTTGGTTATATTAAAGCTAAACTCTTAACTGCTGAAACCTACCTAATTTCTGTCATTCCTTGTCTCTTTGGCCAAATTTGTGGAATATTAGAAAACATAAGTAACAGAAATTTGTGCAAGTTTGAGCAACAAATGAAGTGCTCACACACTATAAAGTGATTATTTTAAATACTTGATAAGGTAAACAAATGTCTTCAAAATTTTTGGAATCGTTGTAATTAATTGGTATCCAAATCTCAATTTATTTAGGTACTGGGGATTGAACCCAGGGGAGCTTTACCCACCAACATACATCTCCAGCCCCCCCCCCTTTTTTTTTGGTACCAGGGAATTGAACTCAGGGGCACTCTGCCACTAAACCACAACCCCAGCCCTATTTTGTATTTTATTCAGAGACAGGGTCTCACAGAGTTGCTTAGCACCTCGCTGTTGCAGAGACTGTCTTTGAACTTGCAATCCTCCTGTCTCAGCCTCGGGATTACAGGAGTGTGCCACCAAGCCCGGCTCCAAATCTCAATTTAAACCTATCCATTTAAATCAATCCTAGAAAGTCCTCCAAGAAGTTGCATAGTTTATGTATTGCAACATTAAGCTTTCTTTCAATACTAATTCAGACTTTATACCAAATTAATCTATCTTCCATCATTTTAATTTTGGTTAGATATTTGCAGATTATCCACATCTGTAAATATATGGAGCTGAAACAAATAATTTTTTAATATTTAATTTTTAGTTACAGGTAGGCACAATGTCTTTATTTTACTTTATGTGGTGCTGAGGATAGAACTCAGTGCCTCACGCATGCTAGGCGTGCCCTCTACCTCCGAGCCACATCCCCAGCCCACAAATAACTTTCATCATGCTTTCTTGTTCTGTAAATTAAAACGCGAAGAACCTTAAATCCAACGCAGGAAAATCGTCATGCCCAGAATCTAAAAATAATGAATCTCAACTTAAAATTACAGTGCAGTCTTTAATCACACTATTCAATTCTCACTGCAGAATAGAACCTTTATGTGAAAGACCAGGAATAATAAGGCTGCTTGCTATTGGTATATTTCGCAAATGCAAATCTGTCCAATGAGTATGACTGTAGATAAGACTTTGTACACCCTCAACAGGTGATTTAAATTTTAAAACTGGGTAGCCGCCTTCATAAGCGACTTGAAACAATTCTCGTTATTAAAAGACGACACATGCAAAAATGTCTGATCATCACTCCTGCTGGGGACACTTGGGAACGTAAGGCTCTAAGACAGCAGTCCGTCCAAAAGATGCCGAAGAAACTGCGCAACAGCCTGGCGCAAGGACTGGAACTCGGGCTCCTCCACCGTCGCCTGTCCTCTCCCAGAGACTCGGTACCGGGCCTGGCAGGCGTATGCTGAGTGCGGGCAACAGTTGTCAGGAGCCGCCCGGTTTAGCACGAGCACTTTGCCCCGCCACCCTTCAGGCACCCCACCTTCCCCTCCCCCAAGGCCAGGACAACGACGTCCTCCTTCCCCTCTCCTCCTCTTTGGTGCCTCCAGCCAGGAGGCGGGAGTGACCCACACAGCAGCTGACCCAGCCCGGGCACTGCCTCTCCCACAGCCCTCAGGACACACCATGGGCCCAGAGGTGGGTTTGCGGCACAGCAGCGACGACGCGGGTGGCGGCCCCGGCGACTCTCAACTGCCTCCCTGACCATTGTGACCACCGCCCAACACCCCCGAGAAGCCGCTGCCAACCCTGGCAGGAGGATCTAGGGGTCTCAAGGCCATCTTCGCGATCTACTAAAGCTACGTCAACAACTATGGCGCGCGAGGGGCGGCGGGCGGAGCCGGCGGGAGAAGGCTGGGCCTTGTACGTCACGCCCCGAGCCCCCCTTCGCGAGGGAAGGCACCGGCTCGCCCCTCAAAATGGCAGCGGCAGTGACGCGCCTGCGTACGGAACTTCTCCGTCGCGCCAGGGCCGGCGGGAAGTGAGGTTCTCAGAGGAACCGCCAGAAGTATACGGCGACTTCGAGCCCCGGGTGGCCAAAGAAAGGTCCCCGGTGGGAAAGCGAAACCCACCAGAAGAGTTCCGGCCGGATTCTGCGAAAGAGGAAGTGAGAGAAAGCGCCTACTACCTTCGCTCTCGGCAGCGGAGGCAGCCGCGACTCCAGGAAGCCGAGGAGATGAAGACGCGAAGGGCTACCCGCCTTCTGCAGCAGCATTCACCACAGCCTCCTCTACCGCCGTCTCCGGTTACGGCCAGGAGAGGCTTACGGGACTCGCAGTCCTCTGAAGGTGAGGGGAGCGGAGATAACTGTCTCAGCCTTCAGCCAGGGAGCGGGCGAGCAGGAGGGCGCACGCGGCGTGGCGCGCGCCTCCGCGCGGCTCGTCCTCGCGAGGGTGACGGGGGCCCCTCGGACCCCGCTGCTGTGCGCCCCCGTGCGGGGTCCGCGTCGACCCGCAGGCGAGGAGGGACTGACCCCGGTGCGGAAAGATGGTGGTGCCAAAGACCTGGCGGTCGGGGAGCCTTGCCCATCCCTGGGCATCAGTTTGGGGGTCACCTGTTTCTCCAGGCTTTCCAGAGGGGACACCGAGGTAGGCGGTAGTCTATCACCGGATTACTCAGGGTTCGGTTTCATTTCCGTGTCCTCTGCAGATGTTTCTCCCTAAACCACTTCCATTTTCCTCTTTTAACCCATGGAGGCCCGGAGTCCCCCGCTGAGGAGCGTGGTTCTACTCTAACCTTCCTGTCTTTCCCAGCCCCATTCTGGTGGGGAGAAATTTTGTGAGGTTTCGAGGGATAGCAGAGTTAGTGAGTTGAGACTTTGTTCCAAATACTTATGCGGAAATGGGGTGACTCAGTTATCCTGAACTGAGGCTCCCCATGTCTGATGTCCTTCAGCTGATCCTTTCTCAAGTGTGGTCTCTAGCAAAAATCTTCCCACGTTGAGGACCCTAACTGTAACATCAAGTAGCCTGACAAGGCCGACAAAGTAACCCAACAAAACGAGATGGTCAGTTAATTAGGAAGTTTTTGTCCAAATGGACCAAAATGCTGACAGTGACTGTATGATAGTTTTTGGTAAGTCACAGATGAATCACATTCCTTAAAACACCCTGTCCCCTCTCCTCCAGATCTAACGCTTGAGTTACAGATGAAATCTCACGTAAAGCACCATACCAAGAGGTAAAAGTCAGGGGATTTGAGTCACAATGAAATGACACAGTTAATGTAGACCATTGATGCATATAAAGAGGAGTGAATTTTAAATCAGAGCATGATAGTAAGTATGCTGCAAGTTGACCTGATGACAGTGCTGACACATTTGAAATCTTGTTGATTTTGGAAATTTTGTTACATAAAGATATGTAAGTTACTTTTGGGTATAACCAGATAGTTTAGTGTGTGTGTGTTTAAAATGACAAACTTCTTGAAGACAAGGATCCTATCATGTGTACTGATAGTGAGATTACTTAAAGGCTTGTGTTAATTTCTGTATCTTTCAGTACCTGGAAAAATGCTTTTGCACCTGGGAAGCAATGTAAATATATGTTACATTGTATTGACTCCCACCTAGTACCTTACCTAGGCTAACTTTTGTCTTTTAAGGAATTTGCCTCTATTTTAGCAAATCTGTAAGGATTTAAACATTTATCACTCTTCCATTTACTTTCTCCCACATCATTTTTTTTTTTTTTTGCACTCAAGCCCATCATTTAAATTTTCTAAAGTAATATATTTTGGTTCGAAAACATCAGTGGTGTGGTGAATAGTTGATATATTTGATGAATTAGTTATTCTCTGTCTTTAGAGGAGTTCTGACTAGTTTAATTCCAAAGTTTTGGCAAACTTGATTTCACATTCCTAAATATACACAAATACCTGCATTCTCTGCTTATGTGTTGCTGTTAAATAGTCATAATCTGTAATGATCTCTGAGGTTCCTTTACCCAGAATTTTAACTTTAGTCATGTCTGTTCTTTTAGAGGACGAAACATCTTACCAAACTGTTACAAGCCAGACAGTCTCAAAGAAAACTGTCAGGAGAACCCAAGAGGCTCCAGGTAAAAATAGTTAATTTTTTGTTTTTCTCCTTACTTGTGAACTTTTTGAAATATAGATTTATCAAGTGTTCATCAAGGATCCCAAGTCATACTTCTTTAGTTTCGTGGGTCATTCTGTGTCAGTTCATTGACTTAAGCAATATAGGAATGTGTCGAGAAAAGAAAAGGTGGGTCTTTCAGTATGCACTCAAAGTACCCGTCACTCTGTATATACTAATTCTTTTTTTTTTTAAGAGGTGGGGGGGATTTTTTAATATTTATTTTTTTAGTTTTCGGTGGACACAACATCTTTATTTTTGTGTGGTTCTGAGGATCGAACCCAGCACCCCGCGCATCCCAGGCAAGCGCGATACCACTTGAGCCACATCCCCAGCCCTATACTAATTCTTAAAACCTTGCAGGATAGATATTATACCCTTTTGTTTGCTGGTACTGGTGATTAAACCCAGGACCTTGAGCATGTTAGGCAAATGCTCTCCCACTGAGCTACACTACACTCCCAGCCATTTTTACTTTATTTTTGAGGCAGGATCTTGTTAAGTTGCCCAGGCTGGCCTCAAACTTTCCATCCTCCTTCCTCAGCCTTACAAGTAGCTGTGATTACAGTTATGCACTTAACTATACACGTTTTATAGATGAGAAAACTGAAGCTCAAAGCATCTAAGATTCTCCTCTTAATTAAGATCGTGTGATGTCTAACAGCCAAAACTCAGACCCAGGTTCAATTTAGTTTATTAATGCCTCAGTTTTTTCATTTATTTTCAGTTTGCTTTTCTTGATAACAAGAAAATTTCATAAGACCTATTGAAACTGATCATCCCTGGGTTTTGTTGTTGTTGTTGCGGTTGTGGTTGTTTTTAATACTAGTAATTGAACCAAGGGGTGTTTTACCACTGAGCTACACCCTTTTTTTTTTTTTTTTTTTTTGAGACACAGGTTCACTAAGTTGCTTAGAATCTTACTAAGTTACTGAGGCTTTCAGGAAACTTTCAATCCTCCTGCCTCAGCCTCCTGCGTCTCTGGGATTATAGGTGTGCACCACCATGCCATCCCTGGTTTTATTGCCCAAATCCTGATTTATTTATCTGTTACTTCTATTACAATTATTCTTTATAATTTTAACTATTCTATTCTCAATTTAGAATAAAGTATGTCTGGTTGTAGTTCAGTTTCAGATAAACACACCTTTATGCTTTATCCACCTACCTTAAGCCTCAGGCTTTTACAGCTGTATTACTTGCCCTGTGTAACTCACAGGACCACTGGAAAAAAGAGTCCATGTGAAATCACTTTGTACACTATAGAACATACAAATGATAAGGCTTTTTCCCCACCTCCTCTCATGGTAATTTATAAGAGATGTTTGTAAAATGTTGAGCACCTGCTTTATGCCAGTTCCCACACTTGAGGCTGAGGGTGTAGTGATGAGCAAAGCAGACAAGGGAAGGAGACTTCTACCCAAAGAAGGGTATTTGCTATTTTATTTTTTTTATACCTCTCTCTGGTACTCTGTCTCCTTCAAATATGTTACCGAGGACTGTGTATATAGTAGAACACACAGGAAAAGCTTCTTAAATGAATAGATGGGAACTAAAGATAGTAATTGACGTCTGTAGATTTTGTTAACAGCTCAACAACAAATGGATTTTGAGTTTTAGGTGTGAATTAAACCAAAAAAGTTGGTACAAGAAAGTACAAATACAAAAGGTATTTGTAATATTGGGAGTAATTAGTAAGTAAAATTTGCCCCTTTATCAACATATGTACAAGGTTTACTTTTAGTGTATATTATCATATATGTGTGTTAGTGTGTGTTTTCTAAATGCCTGATATGTGAAATGCTAACAACCAAATAGCTATTTCATAGAATCTTAGAATTGAAAGATTTAAGGGGATCATCAAAGTTCCAGAATGTGTTTTCTCCAGTTTTTCTCTTTTCATACTGAGAATTAAACCTGCGGCCACAGTATGTTAGGCAAGTGCTGTAACTAAGAGCTACATCCCAAGCCCTTTTTTTAAAAAAATATTTTTTAAATTGTAGATGGACACAATATCTTAAATATTTGTTTGTATGTAGTGCTAAGGATCGAACCCAGTGCCTCACACGTGCAAGGCAAGTGCTTTACCACTGAGCCACAACCCAGCCTCAAACCCTTTTTAAATTTTATGTTGAGACAGGATCTTGCTGAGTTGCCCAGGCTGGTCTTGAACCATCCTTCTGCCTCTGCCTCCCAAGTCACTAGGATTACAAGCATGCAGCACTATGCCTGTCTATTTTTGCAGCTTTCAAACAGAACCAAAACCATGCTTTTTTTATAGAAATGATTGAAACAAAACAACATAATCCAAATTTAGGATATTATACTGTATGGGGCCCTCTGAGAAAGCATACTTTATGTGTAGCTTTCTAGATGAAAATTAGCATGTTGTTTAATGGAACTAACTTCCCCGAAATCCTGCATCATTAAACCCATAGACTGACATAAACTATGTCTAACAGTGACATCTTATTTAAAAGTAGACTTTGCATTTCCTGAACATACCCAGGATTATATAGTTGGCTGGAGTAGATTATTAAATCAACTGTAAGATGAAAATGTATCATCAATAATCCACAGTAAGGTAAGTTATGAATGGAATAATTTAGTTGGTGCTATAGTACAGATTTTGGTTCTTAATTAAGCAATTTAGAAGTTTTATTTAGTATTCCTTTCCTTTGGTACAGTGTGGTATACTGAGAAAAATGGCAAAGTTCTCCAAGACAAAGAATTTTATATGGCAAGAAATATCTCTAGTTCACTATGGTTACTAGTTCACAAGAGTTTGTCACTTAGAGAAAACTTGTCTTTAGTTTTTTAGCATGATGAAAAGGTTTATAAATCTTTGTTAACTAAATAAAGGGATGATTGCATAATAAATCAACTATGTTCCACATTTTTATATTTTTTAACTGTTTCTCTTCCTGTAGCAGTGGCAAGTGAAGATCCTGTGATTAGCCTATGTAGACCCCCTCTAAGAAGCCCAAGATCTGGTAAGAGATCATTTTGTCTGTTAGTTTAAGATTTTTTATAAATACAGTTTTGTTTTTTGAATACTGCATATATTCATAAGGTTAAGAACTCAGATGTTACTATAGATAGATGCAGGGAGACTTTTCATTTTCTGCTGTCCTTTAAACACCCAGTTTCATTAGCCAACCAATGTCAGTTTCTTATGTATTTTCCAAAGATTTTGGGGGGAGGGTTAAGGAAATTCATATATATATATTTTCTCCTTTTCCAAACACAAAATTTTGACCCAATAAATAATACTTTGCACCTTCTTATTGTTTGCTTTTAGTTTTATTTCACGTGTATTGAGATATCTTTCCGTATTAGTATATAAAAAAGTTCCTGGTTTTTGATTTGTTGTTTTTGTTTTTTTAGTACTTGGAATTGAATCCAGGGGTGCTTTACTATTGAGCTACATCCTCAGTCCTTTTTATTTTTCACTATGCTAGGGATTGAACCCGGGTCCTTGCACATGCTAAGGAAGTGCTCTACCACTGTCTTACATCCCCAGCCCTTTTTTCTTTAAATTTTGAGACAGGGTCTCACTGAGTTGCTTAGGGCCTTACTAAGTTGCCAAGGCTGGCCTTGAACTTGTAATCCTCTTGCTTCAGCCTCTCAAGTTGCTGGAATTACAGGGGTGCACCACCACACCTGTCTTTCCCTGATCTTTTTAAAGAAATTTTTCTTATACATGGCTATGGTTCTTTTGTGCTAACATGATGCTTTTAAATTGAGTCAAGGACTTTCTATCCTTCCTAATATACTGCTAATAAAAAATTCAAGACTGAGATTTTGTGATATGGACTATAAAATTTCTCCATCTCAATTACATTTCTTTTTGACTAAAACCTTAAAAAGTATTGCCCTTAAATGGATTTCATGACAGTGAAAGAAAACCAGTTAGATCACTCCACACATCTACTTTGTTTTCTGTGTTTATTGATGGTGAAGGATGCTGTATCAAGGAACAAAAGGAAACTTGTTAATCTTTTCATTAGCTTTCTATTGCTCCTTATCCCTTTAAGAAAAAAATCATGATTTTTGTTTTGTATAATAATTCGTTATTCTTTTAGGGTCAGAATGATAAAGATCTGTCAAGGTTTGAGCCTGTGGTAAAAAACCATATGATGCATTTCCTTTACAGCTCTAATCATTTTCTTACTCTCTGTCTTGCAGATTCAACTTACAAAACCAATGGAAATACTAAAATGAGTGAAGTAGGTTAGTGTTTCTCTAATTCTTATAAATTATATTTGTCAGAATATAAGAGAACATATATTTTATTAGTCGCTTGAGAATATTACAAAAGTAATATGTATCTCTGCTTGTGGTACACTGTCCTGTGGCATTGACCTGCTGTAGTAGTCTTGATTTTCATTATATCTGAAATTGAATCTTTTATTTTTTAAATTTATATGAGAGCATAAAATAGCAAATCAAAATAGTTTTTATTAGCCTTTGCTAAATTCATACTGTTGACAAAAAGAATATATCAACTTACCTATTATAGTTTTTCTCTTGAGTAGGAAGTAAGTTTGAAATGTTTTTCATTGAAAGTGCAGTGTTCTTTCCCATGTTTGTTGAAATACCTTAAATTCTTTTTTTTTTTTTTTTGGCCTTCATATAGGACATGAGATTCCAGAATCTGTGGCTTTAAGTGAACCTACATTGAATATAATTAGACTTAGTTTTAAGGCAAAAAAAAAGGAACTTTTATTTTTCTTAAGTAATATGTGGTTGCTATAGTTGCAACTTCCTCTATATTAAATTCATTTTTCACTTAAGCTCAGGCTCATGATTTTCGTTAGAGACTTAGGGTCTTATAGTATTTGGGCACTAAAAATGATCCTTGTAGTATGCAGCGTGTTTTATATATTTTTCCCACCAGAGTTTCTCAAGTTTTGTCTCAAAATGTTAAAAAGCGTGATTTTTTTGTTTTGTTTTTTAAATACTTATTTAGTTGTAGATGAACACACAGTATCTTTATTTATTTTTATGTGGATCTGAGGATTGAACCCAGTGCCTTATACGTTCAAGGCAAGCACTTTACTATTGAGCTACAGCCCCAACCCTAAAAAGCAGTTTTTTAAGCTATAGATTCTTAATTGGAAGAGAACTTGGAGCTGAAATAACCTAACATTCTTACCTTGCATGCTAGACTTAGAAATCATTTTATAATAGAAACTTAACTTTAAAAGTACTTTCAAAGTTAGGTGTGTAGGCTCATGCCTATAATCCCAGCTACTTGTGAGGCTGAGTCAGGTGAACTGCTTGAGTCCAAGAGTTCAAGATCAAGATCAGCCTGAGCAATGTAGTGAGACAATTTTACATGTCCACAAAAAACATGGACAGAGCCTTTATGTGCTTCAAAAAGTCTAAACTATTTACTGTGTGGCCCTTTTTTCTTTTTTTAGTTGTCAATAGACCTTTATTTTAATGTGGTGCTGAGAATTAAACCCAGTACTTCACACATGCTAGGCAGTGCTCTGCCACTAAGCCACAACCCCAGTCCACTATGTGGCTCTTTATGGAAAAAATTTGTCCAGGTGCCATAGTACATGCCTGTAATCCCAGCAGTTCAGGAGGCTGAGGCAGGAGGATCGTGAGTTCAAAGCCAGCCTCAGCAAAAGCAAGCTGCTGAGCAACTCAGTGAGACCCTATCCCTAAATAAAATACAAAATAGGGCTGGGGATGTGGCTCAGTGGTTAAGTGCCCTTGAGCTTCATCCCCGGTATTCCCCGCCCCCCCAAAAAATTGCTGATTCCTGATTTATACTGATGATGGAAACAAAGACATTAAATCACCCAAGTTGCCATTTTATTTATTCTAAGAGTAAATTCAGGACTTTCTATTTTCCTGAATATATCTTTATTACAACACTCTTTACTAGGTTGTACTGATTGCACAGGAACAAAGAAGACAATGACTCCTGTGTTCTATCTAGTCTTCCTTTGAAAAAGAATTGCTGTTACGTTTATTATATTTTTGTATCTTTGTCCCCAGATAAAACATAGAGTAAATAAAGTTTATGTTTTTTTGAGAACATAGAGTAAATAAAGTTTATGTTTTCTTGAGTACCCGGCATTCTCCACACAAAGCACATCTCGTAAGTCTCTAGGAATCGGAAGATGTGGTGGGACATGTCTCTAATCACAGTGACTCTTGGGATGCTAAAGCAGGAGGATTCCAAGTTTGAGGCCAGCCTCTGCAACATAGTGAGGCCCTTTCTCAAAAAAAAAAAAAAAAAAAAAAGACTGTGATTTTTAACTCAGTGGTAAAGCAGCCCTGGGTTAAATCCCCAATACCAATTTAAAAAGAAAGAAAGAAAGAAAGAAAGAAAGAAAGAAAGAAAGAAAGAAAGAAAGAAAGAAAGAAAGGAGGGAGGGAGGGAGGGAGGGAGGGAGGGAGGGAGGGAGGGGAAGGGAAGGGAAGGGAAGGGAAGGGAAGGGAAGGGAAGGGAGGAAGGAAGGAAGGAAAGAAAAGAAAGAAAGAAATGTAGATGCTTTGGGAACCTGGGCTTTCATCCTTGGGTACTTTTATGAGTCTGGGTACTTTTATGAGTCTGACAAACTGAGATATACCTGGAATTTGTATTCCTTTAAGGAGTCTGGCTAAGCAAAAGAAAGTGGTACATTTAGTGGATGGTCTCCACAAGAGATGATTATAAGTGATCTGTTCCTAAACCAAGACCTAGAACTTCTGAAAGTAGCTTTTCCTAATCTGTTGATGATGATAAGAAGGTCACACCTATTCACAGTGTGGTTTATTACCATTTGTCTATTTGTTAAATCCACAACTTTTATAATTTCTCTTAATTTTTTATTAAGGACATTATATTTTTGCTTCAAATAGAATTTTAGCTTCTTACAGCTTCTATGTGAACATAAGAAAGAATAATACCTACTTCCAAATTTTTAATTTTTTTGTACTGAGGATTTAACCCAGCTTTACCACTCAACTACTGCCTTTTATTATTATAATTTTTAACTTCTTTATTTATATACAGGGGTGCTTTACCCCTGAGCCATCCTCAGTCCTTTTTCTTTCTGTTGTTTTTTTTTTTGAGACACTGGGGCCTGGGGATGTGGCTCAAGCGGTAGGTCGCTCGCCTGGCATGCGTGTGGCTCTGGTTCAATCCTCAGCACCACAAACAAAGATGTTGTGTCCGCCGATAACTAAAAAATAAATTATTAAAAATTTCAAAAAAAAAATTTGAGACCCCGAGTATGAATTCTTAAAGGTCTCACTAAATTGCTGAGGCTGGCCTTGAGTTGTTGGATTTCAGGCATGTGCCTCCTTCACAACTTTTAGAAAATAACGCCTTTTTAATGCTTTAACCTTCTGCATGTAGCAACCAACTTGAAATTAAAGGAAGCTGAATAATAAAATAGGGAAATGAAATTAAAATGTAGAAAGTCATAGATGCTACTGATTCATTATCAGATATATTTATCTGTACATTGTTTGTAGATCACTTTAAAAATATGGAAATAGATTGAATGTTTTAAAACTTGCATGAAATCAAATTATTGAGAACCAATTTCAGGTTATTTTTCTTAAGTTGCTAATTAGTGTTATTTATCATTATCAGAGATATATTGGCAAAAGTCTTAACTTAAAAGTTTTATTTGGGGCTTGAGATGTAGGTCAGTGGTAAAGCACTCATCTAGCATGTGCAAGACTCTGGGTTCCATCCTTAGTACCAAAAAAGGGAAAAAATGTTAAATTTTGTTATCATAAAATCTATTCACTTATTGAATAAATATTTCTTTTTAACTACCTTCCGTGTGTCAGGTACTTACCTGAATGCTTGGACCATAAAGAGCCAAGAAAGTTTTCTGCTAAAGAGTACATGATCTAATGACAAAGAAAAACAGTTAAATTGATGTGAAAATTTTTTTCCAAATTCACCATATAATGCATTGGCAGTTGCTTTCCACACTCCTATTTTCCCTCATCAACCTAAAATGGGCAAGAGAGAACAACTCTCCAAAACAGAGTTTATTTGAAAATCACAAGGAATTGTAGTCCAGGATGTGCGCTGTATGGTGGACCATGAGTATAACTAAAGGGGGCTGGGGCATGAGGAAAATTTTAAAGACGTGAGAAGTCCACGTGAGCTGCTTTGAAATAAGCCTTGGCTACGAGAACTGTTGCAGGAGTTGGTGATTACTCGTTGGTAACTCTGTTGCTAGAGAGATGTCTTTATGGAAGTGACTACACTGGAGTTTTTGTGGTGTAATGGACTGATTATAATATAGTTCTTATCTTAAGCATACATGCGTGAAGGACCTTCCTTAATGGCCTCCTGGCTCCATCTTGTTTAGGTTTGATAGTGACGACTTTTACACTCTTTAAAAAGAAAGAAAACAGGTTAAAGCCAGTAAAGAAAAACACTGAAAAGAAATATTCTCTAGCTTTGTTGAAGTTTGAATCACACTGCTACTTCTCTATTTGGGTCTTTTCAGTATTTTAGGCTAATCATATATAATGCCTCCATTTGGGTAGATTTTCCTTTATTTAAAAAAAATCAGAATAGCCTATGTAAAAATACTGTCTTTAAAGTATCATAAGTTTTGTTCATCTGTTTTTATTTGAATTCCCTTTTTCTCTAAGAAACAGGGATATACATAGCCTTGCTGGAACGAGAGAAAGGGTTTTTAACCTTTCTTTCTTCCTTTTTGGATACACCAGTGCGCTAAAGACTTGGCTTGTCAGTTCAGCTGGAGTGGTGGAAAGGGAGACTTCTCAAGGGACTTAGGAAATCTAGCAAATAGGAGAATGAGAATGCATAAACCTATAGAGACTAAAATATTTATCAATGTAAAATTTAATGTTTCCTGCACACCAAAGTTAAAAATTTTAGTTGACAAATAGACCTATAACTGAGGAGAAAATAAATACTTTGAAGTTATATATATGTGCTTTTCTTTTCTAGAAGCGGCCAGTGTCTTACAGAAGGTCAATTTTTCCGAAGAAGAAGGTATTCTCTTTTTAAATATCATGCAAAATAATCTTAAGACTTTTTCTTCACATTAGAAGCAATTTTAATAAATATGTAAGAGGTAAGAACAGAAAATAGTGTCTTTTTCTTCTGGAAAAAAAATTAATACATATCTAAACTGTTAAACCAGAATATAATGGGATAGAATGAATGATGAGAACCCTAAATATTTTTGTTTGTTTGTTTTTTTGAGGTATTGGGGATTGAACTCAGGGCACTCAATCATTGAGCCATATGCCCAGCCCTATTTTGTATTTTATTTAGAGACAGGGTCTCACTGAGTTGCTTAGTACCTTGCTGTTTCTGGCTTTGAACTCTTGATCCTCCTGCCTCAGCCTCCCCTGTCATTTGTTTTTTTTAATTGCAGTGCTAAGGATAAAACCTAGGTGCTCTGCCACTGAGCTATACCTCCAACCCCTTATGTATATGTTAAGCATCTTTTTGTCTTTTGAGTTAACTTTAAACAGAAATAATATTTTCCATTTCTGGCATGTGTTGGCCTTTGATTATGGTATTAAAATAATCACTTTTCCAAATTCTCATAACTAGTCAGTGTTTTAAAAGTACATATATAAAATTTTGTTCATTTTTAAGCCACATAATCTGAAATTAGTCACCTGTATACTGAAAGGTTTATGTGTAGGTGTGTGTACATTATCCTCTAAACACACACTTACAAATAAATACACATCTGTACAGTAATTGTGTTTGAATTTAATTACATGTTAACTATATGTATGTAGTTTTCTCTCCCTAAAATAAATTTTTTCCATTATTTAATACTCATCTATTGTTTTTTATTTTTGTGTATGGGTGTTTGTAGTACTGAGGATTGATGCCAGAGGTGCCACTACCACTGAGTTACATCCCCAGCCCCCTTTTTAAAAAAATTTTTATTTTGAGGTAGAATCTCACTAAGTTGTCCAGGCTGGGCTTGAATTTACAATCCTCCTTCCTCATCTTTTCCCATTAGTGTAACTATAAGTGTGCACCATCAAGCCTAGCTGTTAATTTTTTACTATACATTAAAGCCTCAGAGTATACTCTTTTAGCTAGTAAGCTGAATGTTTGTTTGTTTAGGAAGTACTTATGTATCTTAAAGAACACCAAACAAGTGGAACTCACTTGGAAATTTGTGATTCAAAATAGTAAGCATAATAAATGAAAATTCCATATCTGAAATTTAAAAGCCTTCATTTTATTGTTGAATTGTTTGTTTTTTTAATGCAGACCTTATAAGCTTTAGAATAAATACTATACCAATATGTTATTCTCTTTAGGAGAAACCGAAGATGATGATCAAGACAGCTCTTACAGTGACATCACTGCTGTTAAGGTCAAATCTGGGGATTCTGTTGAATCTAGAGGTAACCTTGCTTTATATACATATGAGTCTTCTCAGGAGTTATTTTTTTAGTTAAAACATAAAAGTATGTTAACATTTGCTTTTTTAAAAAATTTCTGAATTTCTTTATTAAAAACCCTTAATACTTATTAAAATTACTCATTCCATATACATATAGTAACTAGCTAAGTAAGTCACTTTTAGCCTGTATAGTTATTTAAGGAAAATAAGATATTTTTGTACTCAAAAAAGAATTACCTGTTGTATTTGAATTTTACAAAGAAATTAGTCACATGGACATTGGAACATCCCACACTATCAGGAGTGTTACTTAGTTTTTAAGGAAGTTTTAATATTCATAGATAACCACTTTTCTCTGGATTATTCAAATTCATACCAAGTTAGTGATGTGATGACAGTTGCTAATTAAATAGAGAATAAAACTAATTTGAGTATTAAGAGGATGTTGTAAATAATGAGTACTTTTATATTTTAGTCCCACAGAAAAGTAATTGTCTTTCCCCTTATCTAATTCATGAGAATTTCTGTAATTCCTATGAGTTACTTCATCATTCCTTTAAAAAATAAGCCTACAAGACTGGCCTAGTATGCATAAGGCCCTGCATTCAGTTTCCAGCACTGCAAAAAAATTTCAAAACCCATAATCTGGTTTATGGGCATTTGGTATTCTGTATATTTCCCACTCTTCCTCATTTTCTTTCCTTCATTCTTAATTGATAGAGAAATCCTAAAAGAAGCTATGTAACATTTCTAAGTGGCTAAGAACATGGCCTCAGGAGCTGGAATCCCTCCAATTCTTCACTTACTTGGTGTACACACCCTCAGTAAATTGCTTAATTTCTATGTTTCTCAGTTTTCTTACCTGTGTTGACGGCCACAGCCCAGTTGGGATGACACATGGCATTTTTGCCAGAACGAGTGGTTGAGAGGTGATGCCAGCAAGCCATTGAGATGATGATGGTTATGTTAAGCTGTGTATTCAATTGTATATTAGACCCCTGCTGTCCGCCTAGGCCTGCTACTTTGGAGTTCTCGCAAGACAGATGTGTCAAATGCTTGTTTCAAAATACCAATCTGATCATTATTAAACAAATTTTAAAATGTTGCAAGAAAATTTTCTCCAAAATCTTTGCCAGCTACTCTTCTGATAGAGAATTAATAAGGCATGGCTCAAGTGGTAGCGCGCTCACCTGGCATGCTTGTGGCCCGGATTTGATCCTCAGCACCGCATACAAACAAAGATGTTGTGTCCACCGAAAGCTAAAAAAAAAAAATAAAAATATTAAAATCCTCTCTCTCTCAATCTTTCTCTCTCTTAAAAAAAAAAAAAAAAAGAATTAATAGCTAGGATATTAAAAGAAATTTTTAAAACTTTACACCAAAAAATCAAATAACCCAATTAATAAATGGGCAAACTAATGAAACAGCCAGTTCTCAAAAGAAAAAATACAAATGGCCAACAAGCATACGAAAAATGTTCAGCATCATGAGCAATTAGAGAAATGCAAATCAAAACTACACTGAGATTTCATCTCACACTAGTCAGAAGGGCAGTCATCAAGAATACAAATAATAAATGCCAAGAGAGTATGTGGAGAAAAAGTAACACATTTTACACCATTGGTGAGATTGTAAATTAGTACAACCACTATGGAAATCAGTATGGAGGTTTCTCAAATGACTAGGCACAGACCCACCTTGTGACCCAGCTTACCACTCCTTGGTATTTATCCTTGAAGAACTGAAGTCATCATACTACAGTGATAAGTGCATATCATGTTTATAGTAGCACAATTCACAGTAGCCAAACAATGGAACCAGCCTAGGTGTCTTATCAACAGATGAATGGATAGAGAAAATGTGGTATATACAGTAATGGAGTTTTATTCATCCATAAAGAAAAATGAAATTATGTCATTTACAGGAAAATAACCATTATGTTAAGCAAAATAAATCAGACTCAGAAGGTGAAGAGTCCTATGTTTTCTCTCATGCAGAAGTAGAGAGAAAAAAGAAAAGATAGGGGTGGATCTCATGAAAATCAAAAGGAGATCAGTAGAGGAAAGGGACCAAGGAGTGGGAGCCGGGAGGTAGAGGAAAGTGCTGGGGAGTGATGTTGGCCAAATTTATTGTTATATTATGTGAATGTACACATAGATAACAATAAGTCCCATTATTATGTACAATAATAATACACCAATTTAAAAAATGTGGGAAAAAACAATTTTCTCTAATGCAGAAATTTCATTTTCTATATCTTACAGTTTTTTTTAAGTGGTGTATGGGGAAAACACACACTTTTTAAAATAAGTTGTGTACCTGAATGTTAAATTCTCTGTGGTTTGTCTATTTTTGCTCTTTTGATTAAATATTCATTATTTTCTTGTAAAATGTGTACTTAAAAAGTTAAATACAATTTACAGTGTACTTTTTTTTTTTTTTTTTAATGTTTTAGATCTAACCACCAGATCAACATCTGGTCAACATCCAGAATCAATTTGGAGATTATCACAAAGTAAGTAAAGCAATGTTTGGAGGTCTACCTTTGGGCGTGGTCAGATGCTAATAGTGTTATTCTTATTTTTTAATATCTTCTTTTACAAGTTAATGTAAATTAAAAAGAGATGTGATAAAAGCTAAAAAAGTTCACCCAGTATCTCTCTACTTTTTGATTTCACTTTTCTTTCCTTCTTTCCCCCCCCCCCCCACCATTTTTGGGATTGAGGATTGAACCCAGGGGTACTTTACCACTGAGCTATCTAGGCCTTTTTAATTTATTTTTTGAAACCAGGTTTTGCCAAATTATTGAGGTTGGCCATGAACTTAGTCCTCCTGTCTCAGTCTCTGAAGTTGCTGAGATTGCAGGTGTGCAGCACTGCACCCAGTTTGATTTCACTTTTGAGTTAACTCTTCTCTAAACTCAAACCTGAATTTGAATTTTAAAAAGAAACAACAAGGTGGGGGCGGGGAATCCTATTGCTTTCTGGGATTTGTTAAATATAAATGTATCAATTACATTTACTTTGTTACAATAGTTTGAGTCTTACAATTCTGACAATTTTTATGATCTGATGTTGAAGAAATATGTCAAAAAAATTTGGAAAGTAATATACTAAAATGGTAACAATGATTTGTTCAGAATGACAGGAATATTGGTGACATTTGGGGGGGGGATGTTTGTGGGATGCTACTGGGAATTGAACCCAAGGCCTTTTATGTACTAAGCCAGTGCTCTACCACTGAGCTGCACATCCAGCCTGACATTTTTCTTTTATTTTATCATTGTCTATATTTTGCAGATTATCTATAATGGATATGTATTTCTTAGGTTAAGTAAAAATAACTGTTTTCTTTTTCCATTTTTAAATAAGTCCCAGAATTTGAGTTACTTTTTTGTTGTTGTTAATGGGTTTTTTTGTTTGTTTTTTGTTTCTTGGTACTGGAGATTGAACTCAGGGGCACTTAACCACTAAGCCACATCCCCAGCCCTTTTTTGTATTATTTAGAGACAGGATCTCACTTGAGTTGCTTAGGGCCTCACTAAATTGCTAGGGCTGGCCTTGAACTCATGATCCTCCTGGTTCAGTCTCCCAAGCCACTGGGATTACAGGCATGCACCTCTGTGCCCAGCTGAGTTACTTATTAATTAAATGAAAATATCCTTGTATGTAAGGTCTTCAAGAACTTTTTTCTTCCATACCCTCTTTTTAAAAATAAGACTACTTTTAAAGAAAACATTGTTGGAAATCGATCTAATCACTGTTCATAGAATTCCTCCCCCTCTCCCCAAACTGGGGATTGAATCCAGGGGCACTTTACCATTGAATCACATACCTAGCCTTTTGGGGGGAGGTACAGGGGGATGTATCAGGAATTGAACCCAGGATTGCTTAACCACTGACCCACATCCTCTGCCCTTTTTATATTTTAAGTTGAAACAGGGTCTCACTGAGTTGCTTAGAGCCTAGGTTGCTAAAGCAGGCTTTGAACTCACAGTCCTCATGCCTCAGCCTCCCAAATGCATAAATAAAATTTGACATTGATATTGACATTGGTATTTGTGTATATTATAAATGGACAGAAGTAATACATTTCTTCTTGTGGATTTTAAAATTTGTTTTGTTATAGTTGTAATGTTATTTTCTAATTATCCTCTTGCATCATTTTACAGTTATTCTTAAATACCACTTTTAAACTTGAAGTGGCATCTTTTACTTCCAAGCTAACTTTGCAATGCCCACAAATTTGCATATATAGTTCATACCATTCTATATAATATGACATATACTTCTGGACTGCCTGAATTTATATCTCAGTCCCATTCCTTTTAGAATGTAATCTTGGGGGAAATTATCAGTTTGTTTTCCCTTATTTATAAAATAGGGTTAATAGCACCTTCTATATAAGGTGTAAGAATTAAATAAAATTATACATGAAGGATTGGTGTTGTGGCTCAGTGGTAGAGTGCTTCCATAGCACATGTAATGCACTGGATTCAATCCTCAGCACCACATAAGAATAGATAAATAGATAGCTTCCCAAGTAGCTGGGTTTACAGGCATGCGTCACTGTGCCCAGCTCACTTTGCTTTTTTAATCTACCATGATACTTTGGTACTACATGTGAGAATTACTCTGTGATGTGGAAATGTATTCAGAGGTGTTTTACCATAAGCATATTTATTTTCAAGAGTAAGTTATTGTCTTTTATTCTTAAATAATAATAATAACAAAATAATAATTATAATAATAATAAAATAAAGGTATTATGTTCATCTACAACTAAAAATATTTTTTAACAAAATTATACTTGAAACTGTTAAACACCGTATGGCTCTTGGTGGGGGAGCAACAGTGCCGGGGATGGTACCCAGGCCCTCACAAAAGCTAGGTGAGTGCATTTATTGTGTACGTGTGAGAGTAGTGATAAAAAGTTTGGTTTTGTTTGTTTATAATATACATGGTAAACAAGCAAAATGTCTCTGTGGTATCTTTTTTTTTTTTAACTTATTTATTTATTATTTGTATGTGGTGCTGAGGATCGAACCCAGGGCCTTGCATGTGCGAGGCGAGTGCTCTACCACTGAGCCACAACCCCAGCCCCTGTTTTATCTTTTTTTATTTCTAAGGTTCTGTGACCTTTTTCCTTGTTTTCTGTTTTAGATCAAGACTTCACAGCTCAAGAAAAGCAAACTTCAGTGCTGAGTAAGTGGTTGGCAGTCTGCTCTCTTTCAGTCAGTTCTAACCCATTGCATTATTCTGTCAATGGAAAGTTCTAATATAATTCGAAGCCATTCCACCCTCTTTGTTTTTTCTGGGGGGGGGGGTAATCAAGGATTGAACTCAGGGGCACTCAACCATTTAGCCACATCCCCAGTCCTTTTTTGTATTTTATTTAGAGACAGGATCTCACTGAGTTGCTTAGCACCTTGCCTTTGCTGAGGCTGACTTTGAACTCAAAATCGTCCTGTCTGAGCTTCCCGAGTGGCTGGGGTTACAGGCATGCACCACTGTACCCAGCTCACTTTGCTTTTTTAATCCACCAAAGTGCTTTTGAAACTCAGTAATTCTCATAGACCAGTGCAAACTATGTAATATGTAGTTTTTGTCTCTTAGATGACAATATATTTATTTACTACCTATTTTGCTATGAGAAGTCATGTTTACAGATACAATCCTTTGAGATTATGTTTTACATAAGAAACTGTTACTTTCATTGTTTTCATCCCTACTTTGTTTTTCCTTTCTGATAGATTTATTATATAGCACTACACTATGACATAGAAAGTATGTGAAATAATATTTGATATGTATATTTGCTCTCAGGCTCAGGATATCAAAAAAATCCTCAGGAGTGTATTGAACAAAATGTAAGAATGAGGACTAAGATGCAAAGTAAGTAGATAAATCTCTGTTATTTGCTATGTTTTTTTTTTTATTATCTGCATAGAAAAATATTTAATTCTTCAAATCAGCATTTGGGGTGTTTGTAAGTTCACTAATAAAGGACAGCTATGATTACTAGTTTAATTTCCATTTGCTTGGACTGATGTCAGATGAGAGAATATAGAATGTAGATGGTCGGGGAGGTGCTAGAGAATGATATTGGCCAAATTATATTGTTATGTTTTATGTATGTTCAAATAAGTAACAACAAATCCCATTATTCATTATGTACAACCATAATGTTTCCTCACAGTAAAAGAAAAGAATATAGGAAGTGGTATGAGAAAACCAGTGGATGTAGATCTAGGCTTGATAGGCTGTCAATTCTAGCAGCAGAGAACAATCTATACAATAATGAAATTGTACTCTTGACAATTCCTATTTTTTGTATTTAGGAGACTTTATAAAAGTAACCACTTATTTGCATACCCATCATTTTACATAAAAAAGGCTGAAATCCATAAATTGCATTTTCATGTTTAGGTTTAGGATGGATTAAATGTGACAGAACTTAAGAAATACCTATGAATTGATGTGAATTCATCCAATTCAATGCCTATCATAATTTCTGTAGAAATGTGTTCATATTAAACCTTGACTATATAAAAAAATCCGCACATGCTCACTGTCTTAAACGACCTTCATCTTCTGTCCCCTTTTTATTCTGTCTCTTGCTCCTGGAATGGTTAACTGTAATTAGATAACCTCTCGGTTTTGTCTTTCCATTAGTAAACTTAATAATGATCACAATTCATTTTTTTTAGCTGTGAAGTCTTGCTCCACATAAGTTCTCCAGTTGTCTAGAGCTGAAATGGTCTTTTGCCCTTGCCTTCTTGTTGGCTATCATTTTTTTTTTTAAAGCAGTGTATTTTGGGGGGGTAATTTTTAAGATCCTTATCATAGATTCCTCTTCAATCCAAGACATTTTTAACTTTTTTATTAGCATTCCAATTCAATTTGCATATCTCATCTTTATTACACATTCTGCCTGCTTTGGTGAGGGAAAAGTAAAAGTTGGGTGTTCAAGAACTGGGACTTTGGATCCTTATTGTCACTGCATGTTAGCACCAGTTCCCTGGGTGAAAAGTCCCAGTTCACGTTTCTGCTTGCATCCTAGTCTTTGGGAAAGATGGAGTCACTTCTTCACTTTTTTGTGTATTTACAGGTGATAAAATAGTGAGACTAGGGAACTTGTCTATGGATAGACCGGATCATTAATATATGGGTTTGGAATCTGTTTATTAAGTTGATGTGAAGGGAAAAAAAAGTAGAGTTTGAAGTTAGAATTTTTTTTTCTCATTTCTTCTTTTCCTTCTTTCTTCTTGTACTTCTCTTGTTCTCTTATTCTTCTTCTGTTCTTTCTCTTCTTCCTCCTTTCTTCTTCTATCATCTTTCTTCTTCCTCCTCCTCCTTTTTCTTCTTTCTTCTCCTCCTCCTCCTTTTTTTTTTTTTTTGCGCAGTACTGGGTATTGATGCCAGGATTCCCCTATCACCGAGCTACATCCCTAGCCCTTTTGTTTTTTTATTTTGAGATAGAGTTTGCTAAGTTACTGAGGTTGGCCTTAAATTTAAGATTCTCGTGCCTCAACTTCATGAGGGGATGGAATTACCTGAGGGTGCCACCAGGACCAGTTTGGAGTTAGAGCTCTTTCTCAGGGTCCAGTCCTAGCTCTTCCACTAATTAGTAAAATGGAGTAAAGTCACTTAAGCTTTGTGAACCTTGGTTTTCTTACCTTTAGAGACAATAGTGCTTAAGCTGGGTTGTTGTAATAAACTTACATGTATAAACAATTTTTAGAGTGTAACTCACTTAAATATTAATGCTTGTTTTATTATTAACAATATGTTGTGCAAAAATCATTAAGATGGAGAATTCATTCCTTCACTCTTGACTTTTGTGAAGTAATTATTACCATACTCTTCAGACTGGAAAAGGTTGATCTTTATCTTTTAAAAAGATTTCTTTCAGAATTTTTGTTACCGTTTCTAATAATTTGAATAAGTAGGATAGAGTGGTGAGTGGTATACTTTTTTTTTTTTTTTTTTTTTGGTACTCAGGATTAAATTTAGGGGCACTAGACCACTAAGCTACATCCCCAGCCCTTTTTTGTATTTTATTTAAAGACAGGGTCTCACTGAGTTGCTTGGCACCTCACTTGCTGAGGCAGGCTTTGAACTCAGTGAGCCTCCTGTCTCAGCCTCCCGAGCTGCTGGGATTACAGACAATTTTTTGCCTCAGCAGTGTATATTTCCTATGCTGTTTTGTGTATTCTATGAATTATATAAATACTATACATGGTACATATTAATATTTATTCATCATAAACATCATCATAATATAGCACATCAGCATTTTCATAAATATTTTCTCATTTGGTTTTTGCAGCCATATAGTAAATTTTTCAAAATAAACATCTGTTTGGTTTGGGATTTTTTTGTGTGGTTGGTGTTTGGTTTTTTAGTAACACACTTGTGACTTAGATGAATTAAATTAGAAACTTCTAAAATTATAAAATTTCTTAAGCTAATTTAGTAATTGAAAAACAATATGCCTCTTAGAGTCATGGTTGATGTTATTTTGTGTTATTTGGGATTTTTTTATCATATGATCAAAAATGAGGTTATTTCTTTAGTCTTAGCAGAGCTAAATTTATTCCTCTAGTGTTTTGTCCAATGTTTCTCAAATGAAAGCTGTTGATAAACACAAGGAAATCATTTATATGTATAAAAGTTGCAAAACTCCAGAGAAGCCATAGATGGCAATACTAAAATGTAGGGCAGACCAGTAAGATAACTCAGCTTATGCACCTTCCCAACCCTGGCCTTTCCTTCCGTCTCTTCTCTCAGATATTAGATCCTGCTGCTATGTTAAGAAAAATGGAGAGGGAAAGGGAAAAGTTGGGAGAGTTTTTGATTTATTTTCTGAAATAATGAGAGAAATAAGGATTTAATGCATTTATGAGAAATTTGTTTTTGAACTTTGGAGTTTAACCACAAACCTAAAACAGAATTTTTTGTCTATTAACAGAAATGATGAAAAGTTTTTAGATATATTACATGTTTGAAATAGTCAGAAGCCCCAAAGAAATATTTGAATTAGTTTGAGGTAGAATATAGTGAAGTTTGAGTTTTCTAAAATTGAAACAATGTATCCAGGTAGTTTAGTAATCCATAATCCACATTTTGTCCTTTCCCCCCCCTCTTTACAGCATCTTCACCAGGCAAGAGTTCAGTATATGGCCGTTTCCCAGATGGTACAGTATTCCTTTTGTTATGGTGTTCTTATTTTCTTTGTCTGCTTAACTTTGTCCCAGAATTTTACCAATCCCATTAAATTAATTATGGGTCAACTCTTTTCCTCATAACAAGTATCAAGTGTGTGCTTTGTGCTGCATCATTACATGCTGTAAATAACTATGGAAAATGCAATTCTTATGTCTTAAGAAGCTTTCAGTATAATAGGATTTGGATGTCCTGCTTTTTCTTCTGCTCGTGTTTGATCTCTGCCTTTTCTCTTGGTCAAATTTGTATCTTCCTTGTCTATGAGAAATAAATGCTCAAATTATGAAATATAAGTTGATAGTCTTTTTTAATTACTCCTATCATTAGATGACAGCATTCAGAAATCAGAGCTTGGAAATCAGTCTCCATCAAATTCTAGCCAACGTAAGTTTGTTCAGTTTTTATTGAGTCTCTAAAATTGACCCATAATTGTTTGGGAATGTTTTGACAGTATTGTAACTTCATGCTATTTGAAGCACTTCAAAGGAAAAAATATGAATTTTATTAGCAAGGAAATTCTCTATGAACAAATTATATGAAACAACATCTAGTTTTCCCCATCACTTTGTCATCTGTAAGACCCAAAATAAAAGTATAAGTAAAGCCTCCAGTGCCTTTAACTGGTTAACTGAGTGAACCATGCTGAATCAGCAGAAAGAGGGCACATAGCCAGACATAAAATATATAATATATATATATATATATAAATTAAAGCTTTTCTATGGGCTGGGGATGTGGCTCAAGCGGTAGCGCGCTCGCCTGGCATGCGTGCGGCCCGGGTTCGATCCTCAGCACCACATACAAACAAAGATGTTGTGTCCACTGAAAACTAAAAAATAAATATTAAAAATTCTCTTTCTCTCTCTCTCTCTCTTTAAAAAAAACTTTAAAAAAAAGCTTTTCTATTTTGTTTATATTTACATAGAAATTAAAGTCAAAAATTTCTTAAAATCTCTATTTTTAAATAATTTAAGTAAAAAGAATGACAGATTGCTTTGAATTTTTTCTGATCTCTTAAATGCCTTGCTTAATATCATTTAGTTGGTTTCCTGCATCAGCTTCTGCATTCAGTCTGTTAGAATATGTTGTTTCAATTGAAGTACCTGTAGAAATAGTATACAAATATGAATTTGGATAGCTTTTTCAGATAATTGTGGATATTCTTTTTTGATATTCTTCAAAATTTAACAAGTGGTAGTTTTTTAAGTATTATTTGAAATATGATTGAAACCATATTAATGACCTTTTTGTACTCTCTTACATTAAATTTCACTGAGCTTGTGTTTTGATTGGAATATAATACCCTAGTCATTTAGAAAATATGAGTTCACTGAGATATGCAGATTTTACAAATGTTGTCATACAGTGTAAAAAAAAAAATCACATTTTCAAATACCACTCACCACCAATCTCAAGATTTATCGAAGTGTTCAAATATTGGAGGCTATCAAGCTCATGGTGGTAGATATATTTCTAAACTCCTCAGATTTCATTTGAATGTTATAATTATCAAAAATATTGCCATTTATTTTCCTAGAAGTAACAGGCTTATTTTGTTCATCTTCGAGAAAATGGCTGCTGAATAAATAAGTCTGACTAACCATATTTTGTTATTTGTTCTTGGAAGTAAAAATGGTATTCCATGAGAAAAAGTGCTGATTCAGCTTGCAACTCGGTTGCACAAAGTTCGTTTCCTTACAACAATGTGCTTGTGTGCTGTATATCAGAGTGCCCTGTGTCTATTTCCCATCTCTTCGCACAGTATTGAGGAGATATGTACTCAAGAATTGAGGGGCTCAGGCTGGGATTGTGGCCTAGAGGTAAAGTGCTCGCCTACCATCCATGAGGAACTGGGTTTGATCTCAGCACCACATAAAAAAATAAAATGAAGATATTGTGTCCATCTATACTAAAATAAATAAATGACTAAATAAATATTTTTTAAAAATAATTGAGGGGCTTTTAGTTTTGTATGCTGCTGAGTATTAAACCCAGGACCTCACACATGCTAAGCCAGCTTTCTTCCACTGACCTACACCTCAAGCCCAAGATAATTTTAGCTGTTTTATGAAGGACAATCTTAAGTGAAACTGATGTCCATTTTTTTTTAAACCTTGAATGCACGACAGTGAAAAATAGTCACTCTCCTAGTACAGATTGGTGCCACTACCCTACAATTCACACGAAGGCATCAGAAATTTTTGCCACCATTGCTTTTGCACCATCAGTACAAATGTCAACACAATGGAAAAAGTCAAAAAACATCTTACCTCTTAGCTTCATGGACACCCTCACTAAATAGGGTCTTGAGATACCCCACAGACCACACTTTGGGAGCTGTTGCTCTTAAAGGTCCTAGTACAATTGTAGGCTGAAACAATCAATAAAAGATGTAAAAGTGTTACTACTACTGTCATTATTAACAATTAAATGAAGTGGTACATGAGAAAACACTTTATAAACGGAGAAGTGCTATGAAAATGTAAATTGATATTGTAACTATTATTAATAATTTGAGATGAAATTCAAAACTAAATTTTACCAGTGTGACTTGCATGTTGCAAAAAGATAGGCATCAGTGCAGTCAGTCTAAAGGGACAGGTAGCTATGTCCCATCTGTGGGAGATACCTCGCATCCCTTTACTTTATATTCTTCAGAGAGATTCTACCTTAGATAATTAGTCATTTGAACTACTAGGTTTATAAATTAAAAATATAAGGTATCTTTTAATATTTTTTATTTCCTAACTAGTAACAATGGTAATAATAGTTTTGCTTTGTAAATGGTTTTATTTCTGACTTGTTTATGCCATTTCGTACATTTAAATTCTACTTTTTCCTCATAATTTTTGTCATTTTACATTGAAGAGGTATATGCATATTTATATACATGAATTCAAGCCTGTGGGTGTGAGATTTTCTTGAAAATGTGATAAATTATTTTGTTCCTTCAAGAAAGAAAATTATCAGTCCCCTTCTTTAAAGTCCTCCCTCTTTTTTGTCTAATGTTTATAAAGATTAATATTTTAAAAGTCACACAATACTGAATCTAAAAAAATGATACATGTGTCATTTCTTTTTTCTGAGCAGAAGTGGCTGAACAACCCCAAAACGAATCTTTTGTCAAGAGGAAATGGGGGTGGTGGCTGCTTTTTATGATAGCTCCGCTCGCCTGTGGGATACTTTGGTTCCTTCATACTCCTGAGGTAGAAACTGCTGCTGTTCAAGAGTTCCAAAACCAGATGCAACAACTTATGACTAAGTACCAAGGTCAAGATGAGAAACTGTGGAAAAGGAGCCAAACGTTCCTGGAAAAGCATCTTAACAGCTCCCATCCTCGGAATCAGCCAGCTATCTTGCTGCTCACTGCTGCCCGGGACGCTGAAGAAGCACTGAAGTGTCTGAGTGAACAAATTGCCGATGCCTATTCTTCCTTCCGCAGTGTCCGTGCCATCCGGATTGATGGGACAGGCAAAGCTGCTGAAGACAGTGATATTGTCAAACTGGAGGTAGATCAGCAGCTGAGCAACGGATTCAAAAATGGCCAGAATGCCGCAGTGGTGCACCGCTTCGAGTCGCTACCTGCAGGCTCTACCTTGATCTTCTATAAATATTGTGACCATGAAAATGCAGCCTTCAAAGATGTAGCTTTAGTTCTGACTGTCTTGTTGGAAGAGGAGACACTTGGAACCAGTCTTGGCCTAAAGGAAATTGAAGAAAAAGTGAGGGATTTCCTCAAAGTCAAGTTCACCAACTCAAACACACCCAGCTCCTACAATCACATGGACCCAGACAAACTGAATGGGCTCTGGAGCCGAATTTCCCACTTAGTTCTGCCTGTGCAACCAGAAAATGCCCTGAAAAGGGGCATCTGCTTATAAGGGGTGAAAGAAGAGAAAATCATGTTTCAAGTTCTGAGAATTTTTCAGACTTTGTATCCAGAGTCAAAATTCAGAGTACTTTTTGAAAGAACTGGTTTCTTTTTAAAGGAAGTTCATGGAACATCTAAATCATATATTCAACCTAATTATCTGTGACTTGAGAGAATCATTTCTCTGTTTCTGTTGAGAGCTATGTTAAGATATTTAGGAGAGTAAATTATATGCAGTCCCGTAGAGGATCTGTGTTGGTTCTGGACTGAGTCTTTATTGCTGCGGTGTGACAGTGAGAGGAGTTAGGCTCCTTTCCTAGGAACGGTTCCTGCTTTTTAACTTAGATTTCTCAGTTTGTTATTAGTAAGGCAGCTCTCTGATTGTAACCATGGACTTTCCCATTATGTTTCCTTTTATACCATAGAGGTGTGAGTTCTCAGCTTCTGCTTGTTAGGAACAAAAGTAATGAGCGGTCATCTGAGTATTTAGAATTTTTTCCTTTGTTCTTGAAGGCTGGGGATGAGGGAAGGGAAGAGAGGAATCGTGGAATGGAGAATGCTGTAGAAGAGAAAAAGTCTCCAAGATGAAATGTTCATGAAGTCACTGAGCTATATGTTAGTCAGATATCTGAACTGTGACCTCAGCAAAATCTATTGAGATGTGTTTTGTTTCTTTCTCCATGCTTCCTTCCTTCCTTCCAAGAAATTCTTGGTTCTCCCAAGGATTTTTAAAGCCTACATATCACAAGGTTTAATACATTTGCTCCTTTGGCTCTTAAGGGCATGAAAATTCAGAGCAGTATATTTTGGACATAACCAGAAGTTTGGGGTTTTTTGAAATAAGCAATACGGTTTCAGAAATTGGCACACAGTTTGTTAACCAGCCATCCTGGACTATTGAAGAAGGATTTAATTTTCTGCTTGCCCATTTGTTGCAGTCCTTTAGTGACACTGCATCACAAATCTGAAGATTTATTATGCACATGATAAATTTTATTGAGTGCCTCAAGCCAAAAAGATAGTAAACTTTACCACATGAGAAGAATGTTAGATGTACTTCTGTAGTATTTTAATTATAACTTTGCATTTAAATTGAGCTTTCTCACCTGTCAACTGCTTTGATTTTCATAAAATCTTATAATTCTGGACTCACCTTTTTTTTAATTGGCCACAGGGCTTTAAATGAAAAGACTGTTTTTAGAGTATTCAAAGCAGTCATTGACTTCATCATTTACCCTTTGAGGGTCTCACAACTGGTAGCTGAGAGTCTAGTTTCTTTCTATTAGGACTATCAGTACTCATAAATTTATACTCTTTATTGTAATTTGTTCCTAACTATCCAAAGTTAGATCATCTGATTTATTTTATAGAGGATTAGAAAACAGGAGTTTTTGAAAAGACTTATTTTATACATACATATTATATGGAGAAATGTTTTTATTAAATGTTTCACTGACCCCAGTGAAACATTTTTTAAAAGTAATATGTTACTTATATCTTTCAGGAAAAATATTTGAAGCAGCTGATGTATAAATGACTTTAAAAGCTATTTTAGTAATTTAAATAAACTTACTTTCTTGGTTTGTACACTTATGTGATATAAACTTAATGATTTTAGAAACTTTTTCTTATAAATCCACATTTTCTTTACACTTGAACAATTTTAGTGACTTTGGCTGGGAGAAACAAAGACCAGAGAATTTGATCGATTCACAAGTACATTGGTTAGAAGTGGAACAATCAGCCAGGCACAGTGGTGCACTCCTGTGATCACAAAAGTCAGCCTCAGGGCTGGGTGGTAGCTCAGTGGTAGAGCACCTGCCTAGCATATGTGAGGCGGCACTGGGTTTGATTCTCGGCACCATAAGTAAGTAAGTAAATAAATAAATAAATAAATAAATAAATGGACCTTTGACAACTAAAAAATAAAACAAAAAAAGGTCAGCCTCAGCAACTTAGTGGGGGCCCTAAGCAACTTAGGTAGACCCTTTCTCTAATTAAAGTATAAAAAAGGGCTGTAGATCTGGCTCAGAGATTAACTACCCCTGGGGTACCAAAAGAAAAAAGAAATGGAACACCCATGATTTTCTAGTTTATCCAGGAATTTTTCTTTTTTCTTTGCACTGGAGATTAAATCCAGGGGCGCTTTGCCATAGGGCGCACATCCCTAGCCTTTTTTTTTTTTTTAAACAGTGTCTCACTAAGTTGTTTAGAGCCTCACTAAGTTGCTGAGGCTGGCCTCAAACTTGCAATCCTCCTGCCTCAGCCTTCCAAGCCACTGGAATTACAGATGTGCACCACCATACCTCACTTATCCAGGAAATTTTAATAATTCAGTAGTTACTTAAGGTTTTCCTTACTTGACATAAGAATCTCTGCACCAGGGCTGGGGATGTGGCTCAAGCGGTAGCGCGCTCGCCTGGCATGCGTGCGGCCCGGGTTCGATCCTCAGCACCACATACCAACAAAGATGTTGTGTCCGCCGAGAACTAAAAAATAAAATATTAAAGATTCAAAAAAAAAAAAAAGAATCTCTGCACCAGAGTCTCTTAAGCTTTTCTTCATCATCTCCCCGCAAAAATCCTGTTTAGATTTACTTTTTCCTAATAGCCCATTACCATGAATTTTTACACTGAATATCTGTTTACATATTGTATATATTTTTGTGTTATGCAAAATAGATATTTTTGCTCCCCACAAACCAATTTTCCTCTCCATTGAGAATGCATGTTCAAGATCATCTATATTTTTAAATTTTTTTTAGTTGTAGTTGGACACAATGCCTTTATTTTATTTATTTTTATGTGGTGCTGAGGCTCGAACCCAGCGCCTCGCACATGCTAGACAAGCACTCTATCGCTGAGCCCAACCCCAGCCCCAAGATCATCTATATTTTCAATAGTTGCTGCCTTGTTGCAATCCTTTTAGAAAGGAAATTAATACGTCATTAGCCTGGAAATAGGAACTAGAGCCTCTAGAAATTAAGTACATGTAACTTTGGGTGACAGCAGTGGCCAGGGAACACCATAGTACAATGCCAGTTTTAAAATTCCTGGAAACAGTTTGCTTCCTTTCTTCCAATGAGAATATCTTTAAGTTGTGTAAACTTCTCATCCTCAAAACAAAATTGTAAATACACTGGTTTTATTCGGTGGAAAGAACTGCAACTTGGAAATGAAAGAATTTACAAATTTCATACCACAATTAATGCCAATGCTTAGATGCAAAATTCAGTTCCGTAGGCTTGAAAGTCTACTGAAAGTGGCTGTATGTTGGCTATGTGAACAAGAGTTCTCACTGAATGCATGAAGATAATGTACTGCTGTGTTGTTCTTATTAAGTAAGGTTCCAGAGTAAAATCTTATGCTGGAGTCTTTCTGTTGCTGAGACTGGTATCAAATTTGTGATCCTCCTGTCTCAATCTCCTGAGTCACTGAGATTACAGGCAAGAACAGTGTGCCCAGCTGTGGAATCTTTCTCTAAGGAAGATTCTATTAGCATTAACCACCAAGAATGAAATGAATCCTGAGCCTGGGACACCAAACCAAGAAGGCTGCCACAGACTGAAAGAGGAGGAAACTTCCTCTTGATTGCCTGTCTCTTTTTGGCCAGGGTTGGGCAAGCCCCTTCTGGGAAGTTTGAAAAGTTTAGCCTTCCACCTGAACATGAACAGAGAGAAACCGTTGAACTCTATGCTCTGGGCATAGTAAATTAACATGTTGTGCTCTTCTACACATCCTTAGACTCTTTGGGAACACTTCTTTTCCTGTCTTCTCCCTTTCCCCAATCTCTTGGTTCACTAATTCGTACTCTTAAGGACTTGGCTTTTTAGGCAGAACTGCAATGAAATCTTCCCTAATTCCCTTCCCTCAAATACTGTTTTAGGGTAGCTGCTGTTTTTCCTTTTTCTTCCTTTTTTGGGGGGTGGGGGTGGGATGGGGATATGTGGCAAGGGTGGTTAACTTAAGACCCCCCATTCCACACTCCCGTACCAGGGATTGAACTTGGGGGCACTCAACCACAGGGCCACATCCCCAGCCCTACTTTGTATTTCATTTAGAGACAGGGTCTCACTGAGTTGCTTAGCGCCTTCCTTTTGCTGAGACTGGCTTTGAACTCGTGATCCTCCTGCCTCAGTCTCTTTAGTCACTGGGATTATAGTCAAGTGCCAACACACCCGGCTAAGATCTTTATGATCACAAAAACTAAGAAATGAGGAGTTCTGGCTTCCTGGGTTGAATGACTTGGAAGCTGGGAAAAATCTATCACGAGCATCACAAGACAACCAATAGAGCCCTGAAGAAAGGAAACCCCTGCAAGCTGGAGCCAGCTCTTATCCAAAGCCCTGTAATGTCACCAGTTGGGGATAGAGTGAGCCACTCCAAAGTTCTCAAATAACTAGTGAATCTTCCAGATAAAGAGGGAGAGCTCAGCATTTTAAAATGACTTGAAGTGATACACACTGGCTAGCTGCTGCCTCCTTGTACTCTTTATATCCTATATTACCCTTGCCTCAACATCAGCAATTCCTAGTGCTACCTGCCTCTTGAGATCAGGGATGTGTCATACATTCATGTAGGTGATCACATAGAGCATTCAAATATTTGTTGAACCAGGTTTGGTGGCACACGCCTATAGTCTCAGCTACTTTCGAGTCTTTGACAGGAGAATCACTTGAGCTTAAAGAGGTTTAGCGTCAGCCTGGGCAACACAGGGAGACTTCTTAAAAATTAGGGGCTGGGATTGTGGCTCAGTGGTAGAGTGCTCACCTAGCATGCATGAGGCACTGGGTTTGATCCTCAGAACCACATAAATGTAAAATATTGTGTCCACCTGAAACTTAAGAATAGATATTTTTAAAAATAAAATAAAAATTAGTTGAATAAAAGAACAAGCCCTACCTTATTAATCAAGGAGGTAGGTACATTGTATCTTTCACCATGTTATGGGGTTTTTTTTCCTGTTATTCTTGAGCCCTTTCTAAAAATTAAAGTTCAGCCTGAATTCAGCAGTGTTGTGGATAATTTAAGGAAAATGGAAGAAGCCCAATCGAAGCAATCAAGGCAGTAACGCCTAGTAAGAAGTCCTCATGAGGAATAGGGTATCAGTAAAAGCCTTGGCATTTAAGTATTCTTAAAATAGCCATCAGGTCGTCTTAGATCTATTTATATTGCTTAAGAGAGTATCATCCAGGTAAGAGATGGCTATGAGTGTGAAAAAAGTGGTGGTGGTGGGGGCATAAAGAAAAAATATTTGAGAAATAGAATTGACAGGGTGTGGTAATTGAATACAACATTTCAAAAGACTCTTTAAAATGTTGTTCTACTGAAAATATCTTTTCATTCTGTTAGCTCATGTATTTCTCTTCCCGGCTACTAAGCACAAAGTGACAGGCTCAATTTTTATTTCTTCATATCCATGTTGAGTTTTAGCAGTTTACTAAAGCAGAGATAGTTAATCAGGACCTGATAGTAAAGAATAAGAACTCTGCTTGACCAAGAATCAGGCTAGGATGAGGACTGGAAGAATATACATCTTAGAGGCTGGGGTTGTGGCCCCGAGGTAGAGCACTTGCCTAGCATGCATGAGGCACTGAGTTTGATCCTCAGCATGACTAAATATAAAATAAAGATATTGTGTCCACCTACAACTAAAAAATATTTTTTAAAAAAGAATATACATCTTAGACTCCAAGAAAAGAAAACTTGGAAATGGAAGGCTGGTTTGGATGGGGACCATAGCAGCCATCCTCTGCCTCTCCCCAGTAGCAACTTCTGCCTTGTGACTTAAATGCCAAGACAGTGAATTTGATGGCTCAGTCTGTGTACAGAGGATCCCTGAAAAGAATGTATGATTGAATACACCCATCTAGATGGCCCTTTTAACAGGGACCCCACGAGGTGGGTGGGGTTGGGCAGTATTCTCAAGGTTAGACAGGTCATAGGCAGATATGGTTAAGGAACAACTGAATATATCACTGAACACACAAGGATACTTTGAATATATAACATGCTGCACTAATTCATTTTATTTTGCCTTTAAAAAAATGAAATTAAGAGTAATGGAAACATTTTAGATTTTTTTTTTGTCTTTTTCTTTCTTTTTTCTTTTCTTTTTTTTTTTTTTTTTCTGTTGGTGTGTGGTTCTGGGGATTGAACCCAGGGTCTTATCCATGCTAGGCAAGTGCTCTACTGAGTTACACCCCCAGCCTTTTTGATTTTATTTTGAGGGTCTTGCTAAGTTTCCCAGGCTGACCTCAAACTTGAAATCCTCCTACTTCAGTCTCTCAGGTAGGAAACATTGGAGTTTTAAAATCTGGGTGCTGATAATGACTCTACTATAAATACATTGTGATTTCTTCTGTTTTCTCTATGCAGAAAAGGGGGACAGTTATCAAAACTTGAAATAATATTGTGATTACATCCTCTATTGTTATTTTGTTGTAAGCCCCTCAACAGAACACTGAGCTTCCTTTAATTTTTAGTCTGTTTCTTAGGCAAGAGAGGTGGTAGATGACTGTGTACCTTTGCTTCAAACTTGATATGCTAGGGATTTTTTTTCAGTAGTAGGAATAGAATCCAGAGACA